TACTGGCCGAGTTTCATTTTCAAAATTTGAACTTATTTTTTTATTATATCGTTTACAAAGTTTACAAGTGGCCAGTTCTAAAAACTTTCAGTGTCACCCTCGTAGCCATCAAGCCATAAAAATATAAAAACATTAGTTGAACACGCATCAAGAGTTTATCCTAAAGTTTTGTAGGCAAAAATTTTCCATTGCAAGGCGATCTTCCCAGCGTCATTCCATTAATATCTACAATAATCCTATTCAAAAATATATAATCATTTAGAGAACAAGAGCAATTTAATGAAAGTAACTAATCTTAGGTCGATTTATGACACCGGCACTTTGTGGTTATCGTCGTTACGGAGTCTGTTTTATACACTTAGATACAGATAACAAAATATTATGTTAATATTTTGTATACATAACCCACGTTATCATTAAAACTAATAATACCCTATCTTTTAAATGTCACATTGTCTTTATTTAGTAAATATATAATAAAAAGTAAAGATAATGGTTTATAATATTACTTATACTATAATATATTTGTAATTATATAACTTATAATATATTGAACACACTGGCATTTCGACAAAAATTCTCAGTAGCACCCGGAGTCAGCAGTAGGCGGAGTTTCCCCCTCGTGCCTCGGAAAGCACGTAAAGCCGATGACTGATCTCAGTTAGTGTTGGAGTGTCTCATTCATCGGACTATGAGTGTTAGTTTTATCTTGCCGCGCAGATGGCTAGTCTCTGTTGAGACTGGCCGCCGTGACCGAAGTTCGGTCTGGAAGATATTATTATTATTAAATCTTCAAACAAAAAACTCAAATATTGAAAAATGTATAAGGTAAAATAAAAAATAAAACACTCAGTCAATACATGCCCACTCTGAGTACAAATATACGGATTTTAGTGACAACTCTACTGTTCGTTCAACACGACGAGCAATAAATCATTTATTTTTACGTATCCCATGGCATATTGCTAAAACCACAGAGTACATTATATATAGGGGAACTAAAACACTATCTTTCTGCCGGCTTTAAACATAAATAAAGAAGGCCATTATGCAATACATACATACATATAATCACGCCTCTTTCCCGTAGGGGTAGGCAGAGACCACTTCTTTCCACTTGCTACGATACTTACATACTTGTTTCGCTTCCTCCACTTTCATTATTCCCTTCATACATGCTCTTCAGTTTAGGGTATGATGACCAAGTAATACTTGGTCATCATAGAGAAAACATTTGACGAGTAGCTCATTCATTCTCAACCCACTTTCATTGTCTTTTAAATCTGTCAAGCAATTGTCCATGAACAGATTAAACAGCCACGGTGACGCTACACATCCTTGTCTAACACCTTTTTCGATATTAAACCATTCAGTGTATACCCCGTTTATCCTTACACAAGCACTAGAATCCATATAAAGAGATTACAATGCTCGTATGAGGATACTGCTCACACCGTTCACGGACAATGCATTCCTCACCACTCTATCATAGGTCTTTTCAAGATCCACGAACGCGCAATAGACCTTCTTGTTTTTAGCCAAACACTTTTCGGCTATGCAACGCAAGGAAAAGACCTGATCAGTACAACCCATTTCCTTTCTAAAACCCGCTTGTGCATTCCATACTTTTTCGTCTGTTTCATTCAGAACCCTTTCAATCAACACTTTCGCATAAAATTTACCGACGACGCTGAGAAAGCTTATACCGCGGTAATTTATGCAGCCCTGCCGTGACCCTTTTCCCTTATACAGTGGCACGATTACGGCTTTGCTCCAGTCTCCCGGTACTTGCCCATTTCGCCAGTACAAATTGAAAAGGCGGTACAGCTGGCTAGCCACTATGCCCTGTCCAGCCCTCAGCTTCTCGACGGTAATCCTGTCATACCCTGCAGCCTTACCTCATACTTTTAACCTAATCTCATACTTTTCAACGCTTTCACTATTTCATCCATGCTTATCTCACTTTCATGAACATTTATATTAGTTTCCATGGAAGGTGCCGTATGCTGTATCTGCCCTTCCTCTCTTTCAAACTTTCGAAATACTCTTTCCATCTCTTTAACACACATTCTTCTCCTTTTATAATGCTCCCATCTTGTGTCCTGATTGTACTCAGCTCCGAGGTAGAAGTTTTTCCTCTGGCTGTTTTGATGGATTTCCACAAAAACTTAATGTTTGACTGGAAATCTTCAGTGAGCCTCCTATCGAAATCATCCTTTCGTTCTTCTTTCTTTCTAGACACCATTTCTTTCGCTGCTGTTTTCAATCTTTTATACTTCGTTCTTGCTTCCTTTATCTCGTCATCCGTTGCTTGAACTTTTTGGTTAGATTTTGTTGTTAACCAATCGAACCACGTTTTCTTCTTTTCTTGCACAACACTTTGTACATCTTTATCCATACACACATTATAGTTCTTTCTTCCTTTCCTTCTGTTAGCTACCCCGCATACCTCAATAGCAACATTCGCGACCCCTTTCTTAAATGTCTCCCACAAATCTTCAATCACACCTACTTCTTCTATGCCTTTAAAACTTTCTTTCCATTTCTCTACATACACGTCTTTCCTTTCTTTTTCTTGTAGATTTTCCACTTTTACTCTGTCCAAAACACTCGTAGGCTCGGCCCCTCGGTGTCGCCACCGTTTAAAGAGGCCACGCATTCGGGCTATGACCAGTAAGGGGTCTGTCTGTGTCAAGGCCTACACCGCTGTATGCCCGAGTGTCTAGCACTTTCTTCCTCAGTGTTTCATCCACAATTACAAAATCAATCATACTTCTAGACTCACTCTCATCTCTTGTATACGAGGGCGGCACTGAAAATTTCGGGAATCAAGGAAGTGACACAACATTACTATTTAAAAATGTATTTATTGCTTTTCGAAGTATTCTCCGCGAAATTTGACACATTTTTCCATACGATGGAACCAATCATTGAAGCAACCATTCCATTCGGAAGTTGGGGTCTTCAAAATGGCCGTTTTGTAGGCGTCCACAGCTTCTTCAGGTGATGAAAATCTCTGTCCACGCAATTTATTCTTTATTTTAGGGAAAGTATAGAAATCATTAGGGCTTAGGTCGGCGTGTACGGCGGATGGTCTAATAATTCTATGTTTTCTTGCTCTAAAAACTCTTTTGTTCTGTGTGCGGTGTGAGAACTCGCATTGTCGAGATGGAGGATGATGCGGCGGTTGCAGTTCTCTTTAAGGAGTTCAGAAACGACCTGTGGCAAACAAATGCTAGCATACCATTCTGCATTAACCGTTTTTTGTCCCTCAAGAGGAATAGTCGTAACATGGCCGGTTTTGGAGACAAACGTGGCCACCATTTTTTTTGCAACACTCCGTGAACTCGTGACTGGTTTTTTGTTTCGGATTCGTACGCGTATTTCCAGGATTAGTCACCCGATACGATGTACGATGTTGAGGATCCTGCGTGGAATCTTTCGAGAGTTCTGACGCACCAAGTAACGCGAGCCGTTTTTTGCTCTTCACAGAGCGAATGCGGTATCCATCGGGAAAACAACTTTTTTACACCTAATTGTTCATGCAAGATTATTTGTATTTGACTCATGCCAATGTCTAAAGTTGCCTGAATTTCGCGGTATGTCACATGTCGATCTTCCTCAATCAGCTTACGCACAGCATCAACGTTTTCTTGGGTGACTGCAGTTTTTGGACGACCTTGACGGGGATCATCACTGAGCTTGACACGTCCACGTTGAAATTCAGCAAACCAGCGATAAATTGTGGTTTTGGATGGTGCTTCATCACCAAATGCAGAAATCATCCGGTCAACACACTGTTTTTGTGTTAAACCACTTCGAAAGTCATAATAAATTCCATTTTCTCAACGACTAAACAAGTTTGACAAAACCTTGTGACAAGACCGTGAATCTTTTTTAAATAAATAAATGGTATTCGATTTTTAAAACCAAGGAGTTTTCAATTAAAAAGACAATATTATAATTTAATATGACAGGAACAGTGGAATTATTCCATTCCCGATACTTTTAGTGCAGCCTATGTACAAATGGATCTTTTTGTGGTCAAACATTGGCCACGCACAGATTCCATTCCAAGCATACTTCAAGCAGGCTTCTCCCGTTGTTTCTTTTTTCTTTTTCGTCCCCAAACTTACCCAGAACTCCTTCATACCCATCACGCTTTACTCCATCCCACCCATTAAAGTCCCCTAACATCATGATCCGTTCATTTTCTCCGCATTTATTTAAGACCTCTCTCATGCTATCCCAAAAATCCTCTCACCCTCTTGTTGGGCTTTTAATGACCCAGCTCCGTGCAGATCCGTCGGTGCATAGACCCCAAGGATAACCAAGCGAGTGATTCCGACTTTTAACCTAATCCAGAGGAGTCTTGGGCTTACACATTCATGCTCCATCACACATTCAACCATTCGAGATGAAAGATTCACACCAACTCCCCGACAGCCTCTGCTGGTTTGAGGGACTCCCGACCAGTATGCCGTGTATGCGCCATGAACCGTGGAGTCACATCCTTTCCTCTTGGTTTCATTGACGCACAGAATATATATGCATCGTTCATCCATCATCTGACATACTTCATCTACCTTACCATCCATTCCTCCTTTTACATTCAACGTAGCGAAGCGGCTCTCCTTGGGCCGCTTTTGTGGCGTGGCAAACCATATCGCCGCCATTTTGGTTAATTAAATTATTTTTATGAATATCCATTGCGTTCCCACGAATATGTAATGCTAAAACTATACCAATAATATAGATGCAGCATCGCTCTACCACGTATGTATAAGGTGCAAAAACTATCTGCAAATATGCCGCACCGTACCCTATGACCAGAAGAAAGTTTGCATAAATAGTTCTCTTATTAAAGCTTTGTCTGGTATTCAAACTCAGCAACAGATAAGGAAGGAAAAGGAGGGAAAAGTTTATAAGCATATTTGTTAAAATTAAAATTTGTAAACACATTTATTAATAACATATTTTTATTTAATTAATGGGCAAAATTATTCAGCCCATCCCCACAATCCGTGACTCTCTCTAATAGTTTCTCTGTTATCTCTTCTCTGCCTCGTGACGGCGCTGGCCTCACCCTTCGCGATCGCCTTCTTCCTCTCCATTTTCTTCTGCCTGTCTTCTAAATTCTTCTTCACTTGCTGCTTAACTACCTCTGGCGCTATAGTGCTCGCCGATGTGTAAGTTCTCATAGACCTTACGTCGGATAACGCCTTCTCTATCATGGCTAATCTGTATTTTTGTGAGTTTTTATCCAAACCTGTCAGCTTCTCATCTCTTATGTCATCCTTGGGTTCTAACGTAGGTATATCTTCAGCATCATCTTTGTTTTTCTTTTCTATTGCTAAAGCAATAGTTGCTGCATTTAATTTTTCTATTTCTAGTTTTTTCTCATCATTAAGAATTGATTCCTCTACCTGTATAATGAAAAAAAAAATCAAAAAATATCTACGTATATATTTCACAAAAATATATTGTCTACTAGCGACCTGCTCCGGTCGAATATATATTGTCGATATTTTTAATCGCGATATATCGATATTTATTTTAAAGTATGGAATTCGTATCAATTTCGATATATTTTAAAATGTAAAAGTAACAAAAGCTGTGCTGTTGTCGTTCTTTTCAGCGTCCAACCTTCAGTAATAAAATGTTTGGCCTTATCCTAGTACATCATGCAAAACATGATTATATATCGATATTTATCACGCAATATATATAGATACTGTTTAAAAATATCGATACGGTTTGATATACTTGCCCATCCCTACATCTATCTTCAAAATAAAAAAAACGGCAAATTTTGCGGATAAAATATAGTCTAGATCACACTTTTCTACTCTTTCTACTTTCTCGCATTGCTCTCTATATATTTGTGAAGTATCATTACAATCAGCCATTCCAAAGATTAGCCCGGACAGACAGACTAACAGATGTCTAATTACTTATGTCTAAATGGCATGTTAAAACTCCTTCAGCTCAATAATAGGTAGTTACTTTGATATTACAGACAGACACTTCAATTTTATTTATATTAAGGTCAATATAGTAGAAGCCATACGAAATCTAGGCAACTTCGGTTTAGTCTAAGAATTAGATTTAATTAAGGTTATACCTGTTTCCTGAGCGCGGCCAAATCTTCTTCATTATAATTAGTACTTTTTTTATCTTCCTCCGTTCCCTCATCGAAATCGCCCTGACTTTCTTCGTCATCACTGACTTCAAGACCGATGCCCATTTCCTGAAAGAATTTCGTAACTTCAATATTTATGTCGTAAGCCTGATAAGATTTAAAAGTAGGAAATAGGATAGTTTTACACTTTATTGCTTATTTATTGATTTCAGACTCATTAAGAGCCCTCTTACATTTCGGGGTTTCGCAAATTTAGGTATTTTACGCACCGAGCGGGCGGCGAGCTACGCGACCGATACTTTCTTTCATATCTATTCACTCGCTCGTACTATAATACTGTGAGTATGGCGATTAAACGATCTTGATCTTCCGTAATACAAGGTTTTCTTAGGATGGACTTCAGTGGATGGAATATTTTTTGGTGTGTCATTTTAATGTTATCTTATTAATTTATTATTATATAATTTATTATTATATACCATTTTGATATATTATTCATTATTTATGAAATTTTGTGTCAAAATAAGTACACATAAATATTTTAATTGTTACGCCGTAATTGAATGTTAAAAATCAAAATTATGTCTACTACCGGTAAAATAGTGGTATAAATAAATAAACGGTTGCAACCTGTTTTAATAAATATAACAACCAAATGTAACTAACATCTTTTTTTAATCGGTACTTACAGTCAATTACCATATTTTTTTATTAGAAAAATATTTGCTGCAACGGCATTGACCGAACTTTTCTCGAGTCGATAATTTCAGGCACTATACACTTTTCTTAAAAAGCTTGTAACTTGGGTAACATATTGAAAATCTAAAATTAGTTGTCTTTGTAAATTTTTAGTACTTTTACTGCATAATCTGGGCCAATACATATTATGGCAAGTATTCAGACATTTTTATTTGCTAAATGAAGCTGGCCTTGGATTTGGTAAAACCAGTCATTATTTTGATTTAATGTTACACTTGAATCACTGAATTTATTTATAATTTCAAAATCTATTCCGAAAGCTAAAACATTACATTTAACTTCAATAAGACCGTCGCTGTATAAACCATTAGGTGAAGCCCTCAAATAACAATGATCTAGGTCAATGAATAGACCACATTTTTCTATAATAATATTTCCTTGTTTACTCAATTGTGCCAATGCTACAGACTCGTTGTCCCTACCATGTTTAATGGAAGAGACGTAATCTAAATTATAACTATATAAAATAGTTTTAAACCGATCGATCAAAAATTGCGGTCGTAGTTGACGATGCTCTAGCATGCAGGCAATCGACGCACACTACGGTAGTATCGAAACGATGCAGCGCCCGAAATCAACTGACACAGGTCCACCCTCGGCAAGCGCTCGCGCGTTAATGATCGCAGATGGCCGGCGCATTGAAATATTGTACTTTTATTTAATTAATTAAAATATATTAGTAACGATTTAAAAAGTAAAAATAATAGTATAGTTTAATCAAATGTTAATGATTATTTTGGTATAAATTTTACGTCTAAATGATGTAGAACTTCGGAAATATAGAGGCTTGTATCGAAGCTTTTTTGGTCGTTTTTTGAATTATGTCGATTTTTTTTCCTAGCGTGAAAAGCATATAACGATAATATATTCCATTATTATTAAAGTGTAGGATATTTGGGAGATAAAAATATTTTTTTTGATGGTCGATATTCAATAGAATCTCCAAATTAGAGCTCCCAAATCATGTCTTCGAGAGTTTTTGCCTAAACATGCATCGGGAAAATGATTATTACTGATTAAATAAATAAGTTATCTAATATCCGCTCTGAGCTTATTTGAGGAGAGAAACGAATTATTTTTACCAAGTAATTGTTATTTCAAGCAACGAACGATAAACATACAATTTCAACGAGGAAACCTGGTAATTTCGCGTTTTTTTGTAATACGCCTCTTAAAGACAAACATCCAGTCCCAGAACAATTTTTTAGGCTATACAAACATTTGGTCCTTGTGGAAGTCACTCAAGTCACAAAATAAATAATAGTTAAAAGAACAGAAGGATCACTCCTGACAGCAAACTTGCGAATTTAAACTTAGTTACAACGTCGCTAATGTTCATAATACTTTCCACGCCTCGGAAGTGACCTACGTGAAAGTAGCATACCGTTTATTTCGTCGAAAAAAAATTATGTAGCGCGCGTATTAAATCAAAATGCAGTTTACGTCCGCGGGCGAGTGTCTGTATCACTTAGCCCGTTACGCTCCTTTGTTAAGACCGCTTTTACTGTAGGGTTAGTTGTTGTGAGAAAACAAAAAGAATCCTTTGATATTAGTTGGTATATAATAGAATACACAGAGGTATTATGCAATGTATTAGTATTTCTCTTATTTTTTATTTTGTTAAAAAAAAAAACGTTACCCCCACACTAGGATTTTCTCCTGTATCGTGGAGGCAGTTATCAAAAAAATTGCACAAGGAAAATCATCTAGACCCGGAACAACTATTTGTACGCCAGACAAATACTTGTTCCGTCCGGGATTCCAACCCATGGCCCTTAGCGCTGCAACTCATTACTTAGCCACTGGTCCACGGAGCCGTCACTTATCTGTTTCACATTTTTTGCTATTTACAAACATGCGACACGCGACTTCATTATTAATGAAAGAGTGGCAATGAGAAGTGCTACTACTTTCAATCTTTCTTTTATCGACCAAATATTAAACCACCAAGTATATACTTAAACTGAACGAATTTTTAAGGTCATTCGCATTATAAGCGAAAAACTCGAAAACTGCGAGGCTGTGGTCGGGTCACTAATCAAATAATAAACATGGAACTATGGCGTCAGCAACTAAGCACCTAATTATCTAGATACATACATACATAAACACTCACGCCTGTCACCCAGAGGGGTAGGCAGAGACTACGGACTTCCATTTGGCGCGATCCTGACACACCTCTCTCGCCTCTTTTACATCCATATATCTACGCATACACGCTCGTCGGTTAAGGGTACTCCTAATCTGGCCCATTTTTAATGTATCGCCGATTTGGTCGATAAACCTTCGTCTAGGGCGTCCCTTCCCGACCCTGCCGTTCACTTCTGCAACATAAATTTGCTTTGTCACTCTTTCCTCGTTCATTCTTTCTACATGACCAAACCACCGAAGCATTCCTTTCTTAATCCTTGTCACAACGTCATCTTGCAAACCACACTTTTCTCTTATCACACTATTTCTCACCCTGTCATTCAGATTCAGCCCTAGCATACTCCTTAAGGAACGCATCTCTACAGCATTTATTCTACTGTCATGCTTCTTCTGCCAGAAGATCATATATCTAGATATACCTATAAATAATAATATATTACCTTTCGGTATCCTTAGCAACAGTAAAGAATGAAAAGTCGACATTCCTATTGTTGTTTAAGCACCCGTATGCTATGCAGTACCTTTTGGCTTTTTGAGAGGCCATATTTGAATAAAAATTTAAAAAATAGATATCAAAAGTACCTAAACACTTATTTGAGAAAAATAATTTTTATGTTAACGTAAGGCGCGCGTCAGCTCGAGCGGGCGCGTGACAACCTCACGAAAGTAGCCTCATGTAGACGGCTGCACAGCGTAGGTATATTTTCATGCCTAAAGCGCGGAGTGAGACTGGCCTGCTCAAGTCAAACTGTCAATGAATGGATGATGTCAAATGAGCGTCAAATTAAGGAAGGATGATTTGAAACCGATGGTTATTGGATGCTATAGCATATTTTAGAACTTTTCAAAATCTTCCCCAACATCTAAGGTTAAAACCCCCAAGGGTTAAACTTAATAAAAAATGTTATAAAGGCTTTTGTATATTTTATGAAAAGAAATATTGTTAGAACGGATTTCACTATTCGAAAGGCTTTAGTCCAACTTAAAATCAACCGCTTCATAGTGGATGATGTAGCATTTTTTTTTATAGGATAAGGGTGACAAACGAGCACACAGTCCACCTGATGGTAAGTGGTTGCTGCGGCCCATAGACATCTACATCTATCCTCTGTTACAAATCAAAATGTAGATGCGTTGTCACCCGTGAGGACTAAGATGGAATGCCTCATTTCCAGTAAAAAGGGCCTCCGGCCACCTGCACTCACCAAGCGAAACGCAGAGGTAAACCTCTACTTCACGCTGGTTTTCTGTGAGGTCGTGGTACTACCCCGGTTCGAGCCGGCCCATCCGTGCGACAGCAAAAGCAGCCGCGTGGCTCTACCACTGTTTATAAACATCCACTAACCATAGGTGCTCGTTATAATTTAATTACTTTAATCTTTACTTAATCGAGCGTATACGTTTATGCTCGATTAAGAATCAAATTGAAGAAACTTACAACCTTTGAGGACTAATGCCCGTATTAATAAACGTTACTCAGCTCAAGTACACGCACTTGAGTACAATCTTGAGGTTATGATCTTATTAATAAACATATCTCAAGATGCGGTTTAGGTTTACGATATCAGCTGAGTGCCACACTGATTAATAAACGCAACTCGACTCTCAAGTGTGTGTACTTGAGTGCAAATCACAGTACAGTATTCCTAAGTACAGTGTTCTGAGGTACTGTTTTATGTGTTTATTAATTAGCAACGATCTTGAGATGCTGATACCGCAATGAGGGCGTATCAAATGATTACGCACTTGAGTTCGTCGTTGAGTAACGTTTATTAGTACGGGCCTTAGATGAAATGTCATGTTACCTATAAAGTGTCTCCGGTTCTTGTCATTCACCATATGAAACACAGCAGCATTATGGTGCTGTTTCACGCTGATATTCTATAGGAGTTTGGTCTCTTCCTGAGCGAGCCAACTAATTCGACTTGCCTATACCACGTAGCATACAATTAATAAGGACAAACCTGCAACAATTCATCGTCAACCATCTTGGTTCTCTTGTAACCGGAGCAAGCGATCTCGGTGTCCATCTCGTCGTCCCGCTCCAAGTCCTCAAACTTTGGATACAGATCGCTTTCATATGCGAAGCGTTTCTTGAAGAACTCGCGAACGCATTTTACGTCACGATCGAAGTACCTGAACAATAATATGATATTGACTTTGATTAATATTGTATAGTACATATGTAATTAATGTATATAAAACGCCATCTTTTCATGTATCTGCTGATATAAAAATATCAATTATAGGTTGGATAACTTTAAAAAAAAAAGACAAAACAAAATGGTTTATATAAATTTATTTGACATACCAGCTTTTCGCTACGCGGTTTCACCCACATCTAAGTTGTAACGTCAAGACCCACGCTTATTATGAGATCGCATGATATGGATATTTTAAGTTAGATTAAAGCTAAAGCCTTTCGAACAGTGAAAACTCTAATAATATTTTCTTTTCATACAAAATACAAAAGCCAAAATACCAATTTTTATCGATGCACTTTTTAAGGTTATCCCCCAAGGGTTGATGTTGAGGAGGACTTTGAAAAGTTCTAAAATATGTACTATCCATAATTATCATAATTGCAATTTAAGGATTTCCACCACCTTGCAATTTTTTGGGATTACTAAGAGCTTATAATCTACTCACAGTTCAGCGTTAGTATGATTTGTTGACACCATTTGCGGGAAGTCGATGATAATCGGACGGCCCTCATCGTCAAGCATTATGTTGAATTCATTGAAGTCACCGTGGATCACTCCGCAGTTACCCAAGCGCACTATGAGGTTCATCAGTTCGTCGTACAATGCCTCAGGGTCTGCAACTGAGGTGACGTGTGTCCTGTGACGATAAATGTCGTGATAAGCTATATATACAATATATTAAAAAATTTAGATACACCCCAGTTTGCCATGTATTAGTGGAATAAGGCAATCCTTACATAGATACATATACAGGTTTATTTTGCAATAACTGGCCAAATTTACAGAGGAGGTTCACAATACGTAATATAGGCAAATGGTAAATAAAATATTATTTAAAAAAAAATCTCAAACTTTTTGTTCTTTTTATCTTTTAAATTCAAAATGTATGGTATTGCATTATTTTAACTGATTGTCATTCATAAATATCTATTTTACTACACACAAACATTCGTAAGGGTCAATTGGTCGGCAAAAACGTTGTAAATTGAATCGCATACAGAGGAGCGCGCGTACGCGTAGTTGTTGCCCATAAATCACATTCAATTTGGGATGATTTCAAATAAAAGTAGAAGCTTTATTTACTCGTATTTTCAATAACTGCAGTAACGGTATATCATTATTTATGTATTTGAACTTGAGTTTAAATTTTAGCTACCCTTTGAAAAATAACCCTTTATATTCTTTATTGCATATATACTGCACAAAAAGTAAAAAAAATGTTAAAAATATAAATTTATGTTAAAAGTTAATGGCCCTTAAATCGCTATCGCTTAAAGGGCTTTCTTCTAAATAACTTTTGTAAGGTCAGGATTAATTACCGCTTTTTTTTAATTTATTTATTATTTATGTAAGGTTACATTGTTTTATGTGTTATGCCTATCATATACAGTTGACTCTCGATAGTTTGAAACTCAAGGGACAAGAGAAAAAATTCACATTACCAAGAGTGCAGACAACCAAAAGTTTGATCAAAATTCGTGATTTATTATTTTAAACATTTGTACAATTATTCACAAATGTTCTTGAAAAGTTTCTCACATTTATGAAAATGATTGACAGGTACCCAGGTACATGTACATAAACAAACGACAGGTTGGTAAAAACCTTATTTACTTTTTACATCCGCAGTATTCGTTCGTTATCCGCAGTAGAACCAGAGTAACCGACATAACCCAACGGATTAGTAAGTTGAAGTGGCCATATAGTCAGCTATATAGCTCGAAGAACCGACTACGTAAGGGGAAGCAAGGTTCTCGAGTGGCAGCTTCGTACCTGTGTAGGCGAAGTGTGGGGGGCGGCCCCCACTAGATGGAGAGACGACCTGGTAAGACATGCAGGAAGTCGACGGATGCAGGTAGCTCAGGATCGTGCTTGGTGGCATTCTTTGGGGAAGGCCTATGTTCAGCAATTGACTTGTGAAGGGCTGTGATAATGATGAAAATGATGAGGTTATTAGGGCTAAGCGCTCACCGTTAATTTCATATTATGTGAACAATCATTTTTAACGTGGTAGAGCCATGCTGCAGCTATATTAGTAGTATAGTTGTAGCACGAATGGGTCGGTTCGACCGGGGAAGGACCACGCTCTAACAGAAAACCAGCGTAAAATAGCAGCTTAACGCTGCTGTGTTTTGTATGGTGAGTGTAGAGAACCGGAAACCCTTTTTACTCGCAAAGAGGCATTCCATCTTAGTCCTCACGGGTGACAACGCATCTGCATCTTGAATCTTTATTGATGATAGATGTAGATGTCTATGGGTCACAGTAACCACTTACCATCAGGTGGACTGTGTGCTCGTTTGTCACTCTATCCTATAAAAAAAAAAACAGGTTCGATCCCGCTGGCACCAATCAACAATTTTATTTTAATTGCTGATGATACCATGTGTTAGTTCGAATTAAGATACTGTGCGGAAATAAAGTGACGGTAAAGGAAAACAATTTTGAGAGTAAACACGTAAGTTAGTCAACACACACAGGAGCTGTGCGGAAAAATAATTTCTCCAAAAACCCACTTGCCGTAATTTTACTTGTGTACATATAACTTCTAACTAAAAAAAATTACTTACAAAGGCCCCCCCTGTACAAGTTCCATAACAACACAGTGCCTGTTAAAATCAATGGGTCGTGGCACAGGAAACCCTCTGTCGTGCAATGCTTTCATGTATGCAAACTCCTTTGTGGCGGATATCCTGGATAGATACAGCCATGAGGCACGGTTCCTGTGAGCGTGGTAGTCACGTTTGTCCTTGACGTTCCGGAAACAGGTTCGACCCAATCTGTAAACATGTTTCAGGTTTTTTATGATCATAACTAGTTAACCAGGCAGATGTTGTTCTACTCTTTCAGATAAATAGGGAGACGAGTTCCCTTCTAAATCCACCACTACCTTCTTACATTCTAATTATATAAAATTTATATACCTATAATCAAAGAAGTTTTTTGTTCAAACAAAATACGCACAAAGTCGAAAGAGTTACGGAAACAAGATCATGCAATAACAAAAGACGATCACGATCTCTGCAGATGGGATCTGCTGTCATAAGGAATCTTGTAGCTATTTGGACGTGGTCGATGAGTCGCTCTGTTTCGGCATTACCGCTATGGGACCTTTAGATGCACCCATATAGACGCAGGGATGGCCTTTGCTATCTACACACAGCCATAGGATGGACAGGTCCGTACCTTCAAGACTGCCAAGGCGTCGAAAACAGATGTCCTCTGTGACATATATACAAACTCTAACCCGGGACACAAAGGAGTTTTAATTTTTATCCCGGGTAGAGAGATATGAAGTATCACCCGAAAAGGACACCTGAGTCTCGGTTAATAAGAGCAAGGCCGGCTTCACCGTCTCCAGATGGAAGTGGACAGCGTTAAGGTTGGAATGAAGTCCTATATAATATATATATATATATATATATATATATATATATATATATATATATATATATATATATATATATATATATTTATATATATACGGTATTGGAACGCTGAACCTTGTGACTCGAGAAGAGATCGCGTTCATCCGTGTGGTTGTAAATTTGTGCTACGTGAACCCGGAATCTTGAATATTGAACTTGAACGACGGTTTGTTACTTGTGCCGTGTGTCACGTGTTTGAGTACAATTAACGAGGCTTATCCTTGAGTTTGAAGTTAATTAATTAAATGTACAATAAAGTTGATAGACTGAAATCGTGAAATGAAGACAGAAGTTTCAATTGGTGATCGCCCCCCTTGCAAGATCTCTTTTGGAGAGAGACAACGCCTGTGGATCTGCGGTCAGACTTCAATGGTCAAGTCAGGTCACATTTGTACACACTACCACACACACACTTTACAAGCACATCACTTATCACCTGACAGGTACCCTGTGGTCAACCCTGACTCCAGAGACAGGTAAGTGCTTGCTTATTTGTCAGCCGTTTTTGTAACTTATTTATAACGTTTATCCATAGGCCATTGGGCTCCGCCCTTGGTGGCTCGTCGAGGTGTTTTGCTAAGGGCCCTGGGACAGTCAACCTTTGTTGGGACAACTAGGGGCGTGTACAATAAGTATTATAAAAAGAACTGAAATATAATTGACAGTTGAAACGCACACCACGCGTGTCAGCACCCGCCTCTAACTCACTTTGAAATTTCTTGCATATAATTTGAGTCTTGCGGGCGTAGGGGTACAGAGCGTGTGCGGGGCCGGTGCGGAGCGGGAATGAATAGGGCACGTAGCGTGTGCAGTTGAATGTCAATAAATGCAATTTCAGATTTATTGATTTGCCATAAGACTCAAATTATTTGCAACAAATTTCAAAGCCAGTTAGGCGCGGGTGCTTACGCGCGTGGCGTGCACATAGTGGGTGTGTGTCGTCGGAACGTGGCCTAACATTTTTCCAGAGCTCCTAGAAGCAAATTTGCAAAATCTATTATTCTAATATTGATATGTATCTTATACCTGTGTAATTTTAAGCATAATGGATTTCTATCTTCATCAGCCACAGTATAAATATTTGACTCCTTGCCAACTCCAATCTGGTTACCAAATGATGCAATAACTTTCCGGTTGGTTAAAGCTTTAAGGGCTAAGTAATCATAACCTGCATTTGTTAAACGGTAGCCATCATCTGAAATAACAGTAACAATTAATAAATAAAATATAATAAATGTTGGTTGACCACACCTGACTGTCTGTCTGTTCATCAGTTATCTCGAAGACTATCAAAATTTCATTTTAGCAGAATCTTTTGACATGGTTGTAGCTGACATCTTACTAGTCTGAGCAAGTCGATTATTGCTTTTTATTTTAAATAAATACGTAAGTGATTTATACATTATTTTTAAAGTACTTACAATGTTTGCCACGCTCATACGTCAGTAGCCTATGTTTACACAACTCTTTCATCAATTTATGAACTCCGCCATGACGTAAATTCGCTATAGATGCTACCAGTGATCCAGGGACTAATTCATGATTTTTCATGCCCATTTCCACCTAACAAATTATAGTCAAAAATAATTTATGAACAGGTTATACCTAACGCTAATAAATTAATAGAAATAACAATAAGTACCGCAGTCAATACACGAAAATCCTCAGCTGTGAGGTAACGTAATATAGCCACATCTAATTTACCCATTTTATCTACTTTAGTTGTACCTTTATTATTTATATAAAGTTACAAAATTGTTATTGAAAACGTGAAGAAAATAAGATATAGCTTGCTACATATATATTTATCTATGATAAGATATATCAACTGCACATTATTTTGACGTAAAGTCATAAAGCATAAATGTTGCTGTTATGATCCGATAATTATGCCTCCCGAACAAGCCGGTTTCCGAAAAGGCTTTAGCACCATAGACCACATACATACCCTTCGGCAAATTGTACAGAAATCCGAGGAGTACAATTTGCCACTATGTCTGGCGTATGTGGACTATGAGAAAGCCTTTGATTCCGTCGAAATTTGGGCGGTGCTGCAGTCCCTTCAGCGATGCCAAGTTGACAGTCGGTATATCGAAGTGTTGAAGTGCTTGTACAGTAGGGCTACGATGGCTATCCGAGTACAGAACCAGAGTACGAAACCTATCCAATTGCAGAGAGGTGTAAGACAGGGTGACGTCATATCCCCGAAACTCTTCACCGCTGCATTGGAAGATGTTTTCAAGCTTCTGGACTGGAAAGGATACGGTATCAACATCAATGGCGAGTACATCACTCACCTTCGATTTGCCGACGATATAGTCCTTATGGCAGAATCGCTGGAGGACCTAAGCACTATGCTCAATGACCTCAATAGTGTTTCCCAACGGATAGGTCTTAAGATGAACATGGACAAAACAAAGATCATGTTTAATGTCCATGTCACACCTATGCCGGTAGTTGTTGGGAACACTAAGCTCGAAGTTGTTGACGAGTATGTTTACCTGGGACAAATAGTCCGACTAGGTAAGTCCAACTTCGACCGAGAGGTCAATCGACGGATTCAACTCGGTTGGGCAGCGTTCGGGAAATTACGGCACATCTTCTCGTCAGGTATACCTCAAAACTTGAAAACGAGACTGTACACCCAGTGCGTGTTGCCAGTGATGACATACGGAACTGAGACGTGGTCCTTCACTGCTGGCCGGTTGAGGAAGCTCAAGGTCGCTCAGCGAGCTATGGAGAGGGCTATGCTCGGAGTTTCTCTGCGTGATAAACTCAGAAATGAGGATATCCGCAGTAGAACCAGAGTGACCGACATAGCCCAACGGATTAGTAAGCTGAAGTGGCAATGGGCCGGCCATATAGCTCGAAGAACCGACAACCGATGGGGAAGAAAGGTTCTCGAGTGGCAGCCTCGTACCGGCAGGCGAAGTGTAGGGCGTCCCCCCACTAGATGGAGTGACGACCTGGTAAGATTTGCAGGAAGTCGATGGATGCAGGTGGCTCAGGACCGTGCTTTGTGGCATTCTTTGGGGGAGGCCTATGTTCAGCAGTGGACTTGTGAAGGGCTGTAATGATGATGATGATGAATTATGCAAGGGCCTTAGAACACACAGCCTATTCTGACGTTTGTTTAAAAAATTCCTCATAATATATTGATGCGTCACTTTTTGAAGTTTTTGAGAGATTTTAACGACTATCGAAGTCCATACCCTTAACCTACATTAATAGTTCACATTCGTATACATCTAAATAATAATACAAGCAAGACAATTTTCTCAACAAATTCGCAATGTTATCTTAGTAAAGAAGTTTTAAAACAAATTATTTCTTTTTACTTGCTACTGGTAAAATCACTACATTATGGGTCTATTACCTAAGAGAAAAGATAACAACAATAAACATATTTAGTTACCGAAAGATTATTAAAATTCAGGCTTCTGAGTTTTGACGGAAACTTAACCGCATTCTGATTGCCGTTCCTGTTTTAACGTTTAAATAATAATTTGAAGTGAAATTTCGTAGTGGAAAGATATAACAACTGCTTCGATGGTGATATAAATCCCAGGTTTTTTATCCACATAGGAACCTTGAAACGTTTTTGTCGTCAACTCATTTGTCTCTCAACTCACAACTCATCTCCCAAGATTTTTTTAATGAAACGCATCAACTAATTATGAAGTGTTTTGTGGATAAATTATAAATCAGACTAGGCTGTATGGTCTGAGACCTTTGCCTATCAAAATTGGCAAATCGTAACATCAACAACAATTAATTAAATCTCTATAGTATATTTCTTTACGTACATATTCAATATTTAAAATAAAATAAATATTTGTACTTAAACATTTTCTTTTATAACTCTTGGTCTTGCTTAAATATATTACAGAAGCAATTTCAAAAAACAATATTTTCGTATTAAATATTATTGGGTAACGTATTTTATATTGTTTACACTCATTTAAATTGCATTGAATAAAATAAATATACTTCGCCGCTAATTTGTAACTTTTCCTATTCAGTATTCAGTAAGTAATACCAGTATTTCCAAAAATGAATCTAAACAGTGTGGGATTTAAGAACGGTAGTATAACCTTAGACGGCCCTCGGGGTATTTATTATTCTGGTCAAGTGGTATCAGGAAAAATTGAGTTCGAATTAAATCAACCATTGACATTTTCAGGTATTTATTGGATAAATTTAAAATAAACTAACTACTGATTGCTTATTAAATTCTTCAATGTTACTAATATTGAGCAGAAAATTTATTATAATTAATATTTGAAATATTGATGACGAAATGTCGATTTCCAGTTTCCACTGCAGTTATTATGAAGTGATCAGTAAATACTTAGGTTTAGCTTTAGAAACGGCGACCTCAAATATTGAGTTCATATTAGACAATAGTCTGCCCGCTGCTCGGCTAGCACTTAAAAAGACGAAAAATATTTTATTACTGTAATTTTAAGTTTCTAAAAGTTATATAACATTCTCCTGCAATACACTTCTATAGACCATAATATATTTAATTATTTGTTTCACTCAGGGAAAACATGAGAATTACATGTCATAACCAAATGTATTCCCGCTACCTTAAAGGTTTGACCATGGGATTAATTAATTGTCATTAAAACACTTACAATTGGTTGTTTGGTTTAATGGGAATGTATGATATGAGCACAGTCTCTCCTTTGGCTTAAACAAATATATTAAATTTAAAAAAAAATTAAAAAATTTGTAATTGGCCTTTCAGTAATTTATGAAAATTTTATGTATATACATAAGCACAAAAATAGTTGAAAATATAGTCATGTATTTACAGTCTGTAAATACTGGGAACAAATACAAGCTAGTAATACCAGTTACTCAATTCCCAATGAGTCTGGAATTTCTCATGAGGCAAAACATACACTATTATAACAATGTCCTAGAAAATATGCAAGGACTATATATCAAAAAGTTTGATTTTTTTGAAAACAAACGCTGTATATAGGGTTATTTTGCAATAACCAGCCAAATTTGCAGAGAAGGTTCAGAATAATTAATGTAGGCAAGAGAGGTGAGAAAGAATTCATTAAAAAAATCTCAAACATTCTGTTCCTTTTATCTTTTAAATTCAAAACGTGTGGTAATGCATTATTTTAACTGATTTTGCTGTACACGCACACATTCATAAGGGTTGATCGGTAGGCTAAAACATTGTTGCCCATAAATCACATTCAATTTGGGATAATTTCAAATAAAAGTAGAAGCCTTACTTGTATTTTCAAAAACTGCAATGATGGTTTATCATTATTTATATATTTGAACTTAAGTTTAAAAGCTGCCCCAGCTGCCCCCTCCCCCCTCCCAGTCAGTCCCCAGTCAAAAATGTAGTCTAATGAAAATCAACCAGTTTCATATATTGTACAGTCATCAAGCGCATGGAGCTTTACACATTGGAATTTGGCCTGTTCTTATTACAATCACCATATAGGTAAGACTTGCAATAGAAGTGTAAAGCTTCATGTGCTCTTGTACCTATGCTTTTCTATCCTCTATTTATGAACTTGGTGCCCTCTAGACCATCAGCTGGTGACGCCCTTGCTGCACATTAGAAGTGCACAATCTCCTGAAAAATTTTAAAAACTTGTCAAAGTGCACTTCTTTCCTCCATAAATAGTCATTCCTCTATCTAGGAGAGATCTCCTTAACATTGTTCATTTAAAAACTACTACTTACTTACTACTCCTTTCTGCTCATGTATATGTATCTCTATATTTTTAAAATTGAAATGTATTTTTGTACACCCTTACCCTTTCTCACAGTTCTTTACATCCTCTGCAATGTGGTTGGCTGTTAAAGATAACTTATATATTTTGTTCTTAGACTTAGATATAATTTCTTTTTCCAAAGTAAAACTGCCATAATCGTTCTTTTTCACAGCTATTAACGTTGTTTACCATGGAGGAGCAAGTGTGTTGTGGACTGAGCCTCAAACAGAAATGTATTCAGGTGTTAAAAGATACACACAAGTGGAGTACAAGGCATATGAGGAATACTTCAATACTGTCCAATGTGTATGTGGTGGTGATGGTATGTGTATTAATAATAATATTAATAATGTCCTACAGACCGAATTTCGGTAACGGCAGCCAGTCTCAATGGAGACTAACCATCTGTGCAGGACAGGATTATGGTGCCCGAGTGTATGCACAAACACTGTTGTCTTTGCAGGCGAACTCTTTGCCCTTCACTCTCATAATCCAATGGGACGGTAATCCGACACGAATGAGAGAGACCTGGTAAAGGGCCAACGGCTTGACATGCTTTTCGAGGCATGGGTGATTCTGCCAACTTACTAACTACTAAGAATTTCTTGACAGAGCAACCCAACTGATTCTTAGCTCATCTCTGGATTCGAAACCAAGACCTCATGATCAGCAATTGCTTATAACATCAGCTATCTGCCAGTGAAAGTCCGGTCAAAATCGGTCCAGCCGTTTTGACTAATGTCATCAACCAATTAATACCTTGCAACAATTCATTTGAATAAAATGATAACATCAATTCATCTAAATATTATAACAATCATTAGAATTCTAAATATTAAAACACAAGAGGTAAAATTAAAATATTTGTACAAGGCATCTTCAAGTAATCGGTTAACATACATTAAATAAAAGATTCTGACGAATTGTACACATCCTCCTTTTTTAAGTCTGTTGAAAATTAAGTATGATATGAAACTATTTCATTTAGAGAAAATTTAATTTCATGCCAAAGGGGATGATAAGAAGAATATTCAAATTCGAATACATATTATCTTTACAAGAAAATGATAACCAAACTGAACAAGCAATGAATGTAGGATGTCAATTGTTTGCGGATCCTTAATGAGATCCTTAATGGAAACACCATACTTAGCCCAGAAGAAGTGATAATACTCACAGTTAAGCAACTCCTACAACTCATTGAAGATAGGGCTTATCAGACCTATAGCTTTTTTTATTTTTTATTATAGGATAAGGGTGACAAACGAGCACACAGTCCACCTGATGGTAAGTGGTTGCTGTGGCCCATAGACATCTACATTTATCCTCGATGAGGAATCAAAATGCAGATGCGTTGTCACCCGTGAGGACTAAGATGGAATGCCTCGTTTCCAGTAAAAAGGGTCTCCGGTTCTCTGCACTCACCATACGAAACACAGCAGCATTAAGCTGCTATTTTATGCTGGTATTCTGTGAGAGCGTGGTCCTTCCCCGGTCGAGCCGACCCATTCGTGTTACAACTATACCAGAAATATAGTTGCAGCATGGCTCTACCACGTAATATAGCTATAGAAGCGATCACAATAGATCATACTGGTCTGTGACACTAGTCTTTTTAAACATGCATAGATTTGATGGAACCACGTTTATTTAAACAGCATCATCATAACTATTACAGCGTATCAAAGTTCACTGTTGGACATAGATCCTCCATAGATTGTTGCCACGCTTGGCAGGCGGGTTGCCCACTGCAGTGTTTAGAAGTGAAACTTCTTTATCAATGTAGTGGAGAAATTTAATACAGTATTGAAACAAAAAAAACTTACGTTTTCTTGTAATGTTGCAAAGTCGCGGCTGCATGAGTATACTATTATTTAACCTATTTTATGTAAAATATAAAATAAAAAGAGAATGATATGTGGGTAAAGAAGTTTCACTTCGTACGTGTGTACATAATTATATGCACAATTTTTTATATCTATATAAATAAAAGGGATAGAAAACCTACTGGGTAGATTTCAATTAGGTTTTCTAAGTTTTATTTCATAGACCTTTGGCCATTATCTAAAAAAAAAACTATTGCGATATCTTCATTTAATATAAAGTTATTAAAGTTTTTACAAACAACGATATTTATAAGCACTACGTGTTCCGTGATGTGTTTTCTTGCCGTGGAGAAGTGGGGCAAGCGGTGTAGCGCGCATGCGTAGGAGAGAGGAAGTCTTTTCTACCTCCGCCTCATCATAAAGCTAGGGTCAGCCGCGCATTATTTGCGCGAGTGATCTGATGCTCTTCAGATCTTTCCTTGATCAATTGCCCCTCCCCCCCTCCCCCCCCGTAGTTTCCTATAGTTTTCACAGTAATTTTTCACCGTTAAATAACTAATTTTAATATTATTAGTTTTCTTACAGTTGTATTTATCAGGGATATTATGGCATATGACATTTCGGATCTGGATACGTATACAGTTATAGGAATAATATTATTTCAGTTACGTATATAAAATTATTTCGGACAACCTTTAGTTTCGGATCGGATTAGATTTTTGAGGAAAAGTAAAATATAAGATAGTTTTTTATCCGAGAGTTTCGGTTACGGAACTCCATAACATCCCTGGTATATATATATATATATATATATATATATATATATATATAATCGAAAACTTAATATATCAAACAACACGGACGAAGTAGCGGGTAATAATCAGAAAGATTCTGCTGCCTGTCTCCTGTTTCCTTTCCCTTTGTCGCCTCTTACGACACCCGTGGGATTATATGGGAGATTGAAATTTCTTATGTCGCTACTTCACGGCGAATACGAATATTAGTATGGCCTAGAAATAATTGAATGACCTAGAAATAATTGTTAATTGTTAACTGGGTCTAGACGTTTGTTCATGTGCAGTTGATGTCTTTAGAACAATTAATTCCATGATACGTGATTTATTTTCAGATAAATTAACTTATTGTTTAACCTTGATCAGTAATTGATGAGTTACTATCAACATATTTACTATTTTACTGATAAGGTTGTTATAAACAAAAAGTCGTCTTATTACAAAAAGTAGCATATAATTACTTTCAGGCTTAATTAGATTATGTATGTATTTTTTTTATTATATTACCAAGGTTTCAAGATGGACTAAAAAGTATAAAATTCTTTTTTTTTCATATTCTTCCATTGTTCTTCAATTCATTTTAAAAAATAAAATTAATTTTAAACATATCATTCTGAGATATGTTTAAAATGGTAAGTCTCTAGCTCATCGGAAAGTTAGTTTAGAATCAATTACTACCCGAACATACATACACGGAAGAGAGTTAAGAAAAATAAACATCTGCAAAATCTCATTTTTTTTAATTATAGATATAGTTATTAATATTATTTATAATAGTATAGCCATTCAGCGGGGAAACGCAGCCAGCGTTCTTGGCACGATACCGCGGGGATTAGGACTGTTTGATAATTAAGTTACTAGTTTTAGTTTTTTTTTAAATTATAGTTTTTATGTACTATTTGTGGGTTTAATCATTGCAAAATAATTAGGACACGAGTACCATTAACAGGGGAGCATAAATGAAATATGTGATGAGAAAGTAAGAGCGATTTAGGTTTTTTGTGACAATAGTGAAATGAGGTTAATAATTTTCTGCTCACCAGATGTCGTTAGTTGACGTAAAGTTTTTTATTACACAGTGTCATTTAATTGAGAAGTTAGTTTTTAAAAGTTTATCAGTTTCTAGAGTATTATATTAATATAGAAAACAATGCCTCATGCCTGGTTTGCCCTTTAATTTTTTGCACATTATAAACATTTTTTTTAATTTTTCTACTTTTATGAATCTTTGTGATTTGGTTTATTTATTTTTAATCTTATTCATCATCATCATCATTACACTGCTGAACATAGACCTCCCCCAAGGTATACCACAATGCACGGTCCTGAGCCACCTGCATTCATCGACTTCCTGCATGTCTTACCAGGTCGTCACTCCATCTAGTGGGGGGTCGTACTACATTTCGCCTACCGGTACGAGGCTGCCACTCGAGAACCTTTCTTCCCCATCGGTTGTCGGTTCTTCGAGCTATATGGCCGACCCACTGCCACTTCAGCTTACTAATCCGTTGGGCTATGTCGCTTACTCTTGTTCTACTGCGGATATACTCATTTATATGTTTATCACGCAGAGAAACCCTGGGCATAGCCCTCTCCATAGCACGCTGAGAGACCTTGAGCTTTCTCATACGGCCAGCAGTGAAGGACCACGTCTCAGATCCGTAAGTCATCACTGGCAACAAGCACTGGTTGTACAATTTCGTTTTCAGGTTTTGAGGTATGTCTAACGAGAAGATATGTCCTAGTTTCCCGAACGCTGCTCAGCCGAGTTGAATCCGTCGATTGACCTCTCGGTCGAAGTTGGACTTACCTAGTCGGACTATTTGTCCCAGGTAAACATACTCGTCAACAACTTCGAGCTTAGTGCTCCCAACAACTACCGGCATAGGTGTGACATGGACGTTCAACATGATCTTTGTTTTGTCCATGTTCATCTTAAGACCTATCCGTTGGGAGACACTATTGAGGTCATTGAGCATACTGCTTTGGTCCTCCAGCGATTCTGCCATAAGGATTATATCGTCGGCAAATCGAAGGTGAGTATTCGCCATTGATGTCAATACCGCATCCTTTCCAGTCCAGTAGCTTGAAAACGTCTTCCAATGCAGTGACGAAGAGTTTCGGGGATATAACGTCACCCTGTCTTACATCTCTCTGCAGTTGGATAGGTTTCGGTTTCGTTCTGATTCTGTACTCGGCTAGCCATCGTAGCTCTACTGTACAAACACTTCAGCACTTCGATATACCGACAGTCAACTTGACACCGCTGAAGGGACTGCAGCACCGCCCAAATTTCGACGGAATCAAAGGCTTTCTCATAGTCCACAATCTATATACGCAAGGCAAAGTGGCAGATTATACTCCTCTGTCTTCAGTACAATCTGCCGCAGGGTATATATGTGGTCTATGGTACTAAAGCCTTTTCGGAAACCGGCTTGTTCGGGAGGATGGAAGTAATCAAGTCTGCGCGCGAGACGATTCGTAATGACTCTCGAAAACAGCACGTAGACGTGGCTCAGAAGGGAAATAGGTCTGTAGTTCTTCAAGAGAGCGTTGTCGCCTTTCTTGAAGAACAAGACCACCCCACTTCTGCTCCACGCCTCCGGAGTAGTGCCACCATGGAGGACGGAATTAAAGAGTTTCTGAAGGACTTCAAGTACCGGTTTTCCACCCGCTTTCAAAAGTTCCACTGTAATTCCATCCTCACCCGGGGACTTGCCGTTTTTAAGGTGCTGGAGAGCCATTCTAATCTCGCTCAGACTGGCGTCCGGGATATCTTCGGAATAGATTCGGATAAGACTCGCTCTTGGATCGTTACACACACTTGCGTGTGGCTCCTACGATGACGTGTACAGCTGCCCATAGAACCTCTCAATCTCACTCAAAATCTCAGGTGTCCCGGAAACGATGCTGCCACACTCGGTCTTCAGCTTTGACAGTTGGCTCTTTCTGGCAGACAGATTTCTGGCAAAGACTTTGGAGCCTTGGTTCCGCTCGATCGCTTCTTCAATACAAGCTGTATTGAAGTTGCGAAAGTCCCGCCGCATGCATTTGGAGATCTGTCTGTTCAGATGCCTGTATGCTGTCAAATCTGTTGAAGAATGTAGCTTCATCTCCCGTCTAACAGCCATGAGATTAAGAGTGTGATCGGAGAGTTTTTGTGTTCTTCTGCGGCGGGTCTTGCAGAACTTAGCTCCGACCGCATGGTCAGCTTCCACGAGCTTGTCATTCATATCGTCTACTTCAATTGCAGTCTTCTAGGCACTGAAAACGGTTTTGTAACTCGAGCTGAAAGGTTTCGGGACTTTGGATTAGAGCACGAGGGGGACGGAGCGTTGACTTCATTAAACGAGTTCAGTGTGCCTCTAACCATTCGGTGATCGCTACCAGAAAAAGAGTCCCCCTTTCTCCATGAAGTCGGCCAGCTGCTGGCCCCTTGGGTTCCGTTGCCCTATTCCAAATTTCCCTACTTTCAGCTCACCGTTCTCTCTTGTGCCTAGTTTTGCATTGAAGTCTCCCATTAACACCGTACGGTGGGTTTTGGAGGAATGCACGGCTCTAGAGATATCCTCATACATTTCCTCCACCTCCTCATCGGGATGTGCCGAAGTTGATGCGTAAACCTGTATGACCTTCAGCGAATACCGTTTGGAGATTCTGAGTATAAGGTACGCAAAAGAAACATTAACCTTTACATTTTCCGAACAAATTAACATCCCCGCTATGAAAACTGTCATATATTATACCTCACGTTTAAGTGGCACCGCCCTGGTGGCAGATAAAGTCGTGGATGCCCTTATTGAAAAGGCTTCCTATGCATTAAAATCAAATACTAATAAAAAAAAATAAAAGTGATAAGTACACTATTTCCAAAGATATATTTGTTCACATTCATACCGACCAACCTACATCCAAGTGAAATTCAATTAATTCTTTTTAATAATAATCGAAATTGCCTATTTCGATTATTAACGCTGCTGTGTTTCGTATGGTGAGTGCAGAGAACCGGAGACCCTTTTTACTGGAAAAGAGGCATTTACATTTTGATTCGCAAACGAGGATAGATGTAGATGTCTATGGGCCAGAGTAACTACTTACCATCAGGTGGACTGTGTGCTCGTTTGTCACCCTATTCTATAAAAAAAATATAGAAATCCCGTGTCAAATATGGGAACTAATTTGCCGTTTAAAGTATTTGACAGCAAACGTAAAATTACACAAATACTATGGCGGGGATTTCTTCGAGAAAAATATTACCAAAGATTATTAATTAACCACATTATGAAATAGACCGATAGGGTTTGTGTCAAGGGGCCGATTTACGCTTCGACAAGTACAGTAGCGAGTTTAATTACAGGGCAGTTGACATTAAACGGTTAGAAAAGTACAATTTTATATTTTGAGGGTCAAACGCGAAAACGTTGCATCCTGTCAACTTATGCACTGAACTAAACTCGCTCGTTCACACGACCCCGAACAGCAAATTTAGTTGTGGGTTGCGGGAGACGCGCGGGATGGCAACACTTACCGTCAGGTGGACTGTGTGCTCGTTTGTCACCCTATTTCTATAAAAAAAAACTTCGAACTTGACTCGCCGAAAAATAAACCGGCCGACTATCCCGTTCTTAATTGTTAGTTTTTTACTTAACACACTAATTGCCGTTCAAACGAGCATTTTTACTTAACTCGCCAGGTTCGCAAGTTAACTCCCTACTGTACTTGTCGAAGTGTAAATGGGCCTTCAACTATAATACAACATGTTATATATATGTACCCATTCTATCACGTACGTGCGTGTCTTTCCATTTGGTTGGTGGAAAATGTCATATATCATTAGAACTGCCATCTTACTGTGAATTATGTAACAATTGACCAAAAACTAATTCTTCCACAGGTACATCCGTTCTGCATCAAGGCTCCCATTCGATACCATTCGAATTCCAGATACCCTTCACAGTGCCTTCATCCTTCAGCAGTCCTTTAGGCAATGTAACATACAAAGTTAGCGCGTACTTAGAGGCACCACCAATAAGAGAGGAACTGGAAAGAACTTTTGAAGTTGTTGCACCCCTAGATCTGAATAAGGATGAGAGCGGGGATGCACAGGTTAGTTGATCCATGACATAGGAGCCGGAGAGTTGGTTTATTAAACGCACAGTTCACCTGACGATAAGTATATTTGCTCTAGAAACACCTACCACATCAACCATTAGAAATCTGTTGAGACCACAGAAACAGAACGTGGTTTTTAACGTGGTAGAGCCATGCTGCAGCTATATCTGGTATAGTTGTAGCACGAATGAGTCGGCTCGACCGGAGAAGAACCACGCTCTCACAGAATACCAGCGTTAAATAGCAGCAGCGTTAAGCTGTGTTTCGTACGGTGAGTGTAGAGAACCGGAGACCCTTTTTACTGGAAACGAGGCATTCCATCTTAGTCCTCACGGGTGACAACACATCTGCATTTTGATTCGTAATTGAGAATAGATTTATATAGTTGTCTATGTGCCACAGCAACCTCTTACCATCAGGTGGACTGTGTGCTCGTTTGTCATCCTTATCCTATAAAAAAAGAAACTTATTCAATTTAGATTATAAATAATACTTGTTGAAAGTCACTCTTATGTTTAAATTACCACTGGTTCGAAAAAAAACTGTACTGGGAAGAATCATCATGAAACCCAGCGAGACTTTTTTTTAACCAATTCGTTGCGGCACAACAAATATTTCATGACACGCCTGGGGTGTCAAGCGCCACAGACTTGACACAGGATACTTGTTTTTAGTGGGTAACTACGTGTTTTTCTATGTGTTTTCTTTGAAATTGAGAGTAAGTGACTTTTTTTATGCAGAGATTATCAACATTTTGTACTATTTTTTTGTTTTATAAAAAAATCATTTATATAAGTAGGTACAGCTAAGTCACCCTGGAAATCCTTGGTCCTTATTAAATTAAATTTTCACCTAATAATAACATTTGTAAATATGAAACAATCAAGATCCTCAATATGGAAAAAAAACAAGGTTTATGATTCATTGATATTTACAAATGTTTAATATTATTTAATGTTATACAAATGTAAAAGTAGATGATGAAGGAGAAGAAATGAAAAATATTCTAAACTATTTTCTCCTATAAAAATCTATATTATTCACTCGACTCGATATATATTATTTCGACACCCCGTTGGTCTAATAGTCAGGGTTCGATCCCCGGGTCGGGCCAAAAGCAGTTATTGGGTTTTTCCGTTAAGAAATTTTCAGTAGCAAACTGGAGCCTGGAAGTTAGCGATGTTTCACCCCCGTGCCTCGGAAAGCACGTAAAGCCGTTGGTACTGCGCCTGATCTCTCTCCGGTCGTGTTGGTTTGCCGTCCCATCGGACTATAAGAGTGAGGGAATAGAGAGTGCATCTGTGCTTGCGCATACACTCGGGCACTATAATCCTGTTCTGTACAGATTGTGACAGACAGCCACCGTGACTGAAATTCGGTGCAGAGATCATTATTATATTGTTTATACTTTATATAAAATTTTCAGCAACCAATTGAAATGCAGTTCGAAGAAATATATAGTTGTTGCTGTAGCACGCAGCCGATCTCAATCGGCGTCAAGCTTCCTGTATCCGGCTACTGTCCTGGTCAACCTATACCCATCACGATAGATGCACAGAATAACTCAAGTACAGAGATATCTAAGATTATTTTCCAACTAATTATGGTGAGAATTGTAGTTTAATATAATTTTGTGTTAAACAATTTACGATCATAACTATACCTACACAAGTCTATTTGATTCCCACAGATCCTCATTTCTTCTGAGCTTAACATATCATTGTGGCTACAGTTCGCATCAGTATTACGGTAATATAGTAGCGTTATGTAGTTATTTGCAGGGACTTGAAAACGAAATTAATTTAGTTTCGTTACACGAAATGTTATCTCATTAACGTTCCAAAGTTTGTAACGATACTAAAACCTACAGTTATCAATAACATAATAAAAAATAACGTTAAAGAAAATTGTTTAGTAGAACAATATTTTTCGTTACGTTATATGTATTGGTAGCGTTATGTCGATATCCGCTTATAATATCGTTACGGCTGAAGCGTTACAAATTCATTTGTACACTGCACTACCGCTCCGTTATCTCACCCCGTACAAGCCACCGCCGCGCCGCCGTATTCAAGTATTATCATAAAGTATGTTAGAGAGAGTACGCATCGCATATTATATAAAATATATAAAGTATGTGTCATTTAAGATTAATAACGATATTATATCTTTATATCGATAATTATGTTATATCGTAATATTAATAACGATATATTTTTAAATATTGTTATTAAATAGTTGTAGATTTCGTTCCGTTTGTTAGTATCGTTATAGCCAAGGAATTAATTTTGTTACGATCCAAGTGGAACGGTACAAATTATCGCTACTGGAACTATGAGTAACGTTATTTCGAGTAACGTTTCAAGTCCCTGTTTATTTGGTCTATCTTAATATTAAATATGTTAAAAGTTAATTAGCTAAGATCAGCGTAATAAAATAAAATGATGTATGTAAGGCCTACGCCAAACTGAACGGAAATACCGTCGCGGATCGTACACGGCGGCACGCCAATACATTTTATTGCATGCAAAAGACTAATAATGGGCACACTACGCGGAAGATCGGTCGGTCCCTCGACAGACCCGTTCTCATTTATCTATATCATCAAATAGTCATTTATCTATACCTATACCAACAAATAAAATAGAAGTGTCTGTTTGTAATGTTCAAATAACAGCTTTTTACGAAATGCATATGAAAGTATATAGGGTACTAACAACAAAAACAATTTAAATTTTTTTTGTTTGTATGTCTGTCTGTTTGTTCCGTGTAAAATCTCCGAAACGGCTGGACCGATTTTGACGGGACTTTCACTGGCAGATAGCTGATGTTATAAGGAGTAACTTAGGATACTTTTATATTAGAAAAATAATTAGGGTTCCGCGCAAAAAATGAAAACCCATGAAATCGTAGTAAATTCCACGCGGGCGAAGTCGCGGGGACAGCTAGTATGCAATAAATATAATACCGTTCCGCCGCGGAAGATCCGCAACGGAATAATTGACACACTAGTTTCAAGAGCACCTCCCACCCTCTCTCAATTTCGTGCACTATTCCCGTATCGCCCGTCACCACTTATCCCAGCATCACCGGTAAGCTTAGTGGTCTGCCACCGCATCGTCTACTTCGCCGATGGTGTATATATCACAGAGTAGTGATGGTGGGAGTAGTGGTGACCGGGATAGTGTATATGATTGTATCTTTTTATTTTATTACGCGGTTCTTAGTTATTTAATTTTTTCCATCATTAATATAATGGATTTCCGCAAAGTAACGCCTGATTCTATTAAGTATGGTAATAGTTCTTTGCATGTTAAAATATATTGTTTTAGAATTTTCTAGTTAAGTAGTGTGACATTGTAGAGTTGGTCTAAGCACAACTTTTCGGTGTAGATTAGTCAGTCATAAGAATTTTTTTTTTATAGAATAGGGTGACAAACGAGCACACAGTTCGCCTGATCGTTCCCGCCCGATCAATGGTAAGTGGTTGCTGTGACCCATAGACATCTACATCTATCCTCAATAAATAATTAAAATGCAGATGCGTTGTCACCCGTGAGGACTAAGATGGAATGCCTCTTTTCCAGTAAAAAGGGTCTCTGGTTCTCTACACTCACCATACGAAACACAGCAGCATTAGGCTGCTATTTTACGCTGGTATTCTGTGACAGCATGGTCCTTTGTTGGTTGAGCCGATCCATTCGTGCTACAACCATACTAGTAATATTGCTGCAGCATGGCTACCACGTATAACAAAGCTTGACATGTATTCCTAACAGAAGGAAAGGTATCATAGCCGTAACCCAGTTTCGGAGTACACTCCCCCTGAGAAACTTCTCGCCACAATGAAGAAAGGCCCAATCATGAGTAATACGAAGCGGGTCTACACGTTCGAAATGCCGGTGCCGGAGATGATAGCACCCCATCTGGACAATTGTGGAATAATCGACTTGGGCTTTTTCTTTAAGGTTAGTCAATTAGTTTTCAGTACTATATTTTCTTCCAGTCATTCAGGGCTAAATTTCACAAATGTGACAATATTTTTTTCTGCCGACTTCCAAAAAGGAGACGGTACTCAATTCGACTGTATGTTTTTTTTTAAGTGTGTTACCTCATAACTTTTTACTGGGTGAACCGATTTTGATGATGATTTGAAAACTGATACTTCTCGTGTGGTCCCATATGAATTTGATCAAGGTCAGACCAATAGTTATTGAGTTTCTTAATAACTTATATTGAAGTCGGCTGTACAAAATTTTAAATTATTGTTTAAATTGGTTTAAACATATTTCAAAGACACATACACATACATGTATATATTACATTTTGAGCAATGTATTATTTCTATTGTCATCCATCCATTACAGTCTATATAAGTCTACTGCTGAACATAAACCTGCCCTCAAAAATTGCCTTATTGAAATTTTTTTGCCATAGTTGCTATGTTAAGATTTTGCCATATAGCAGGCGGGGGTTAGTAACAGCAGTTTTTTTAATAATTTTAAGTTGTTATCAGGAAGATGCTGCAGCCCATCTCATGTTTCAGTTTCCCTGTGTCGACTCTTACGACACCCCACGGGACTATGGGTACTATGGGACGGTATGGATTTATGGATATTCTTACACCGCCACTACTCGGTTATTGTTATTGAAGATTATAAATTGTCAGGTTTGGAATTAACCATGTAAAAAGTGGTTATCCCATGGGCAGTTACATACGTTAACGATAAATGCTCTAATATGTTTTTAATCAATATTGCCATGTTTGTGACGGCGTAAGAGAATTAACCTCCCAATACCCACAATATCAAAAATATTCGAACGCATAATTAAGTCTAGGTCGGTGGCTCATCTTGTCTTAAACAAGGTTATTGATAGAGGGCAATTTGGTTATCAAAGCAACATCGGTACACAGGACGCAATAGACGCACTGCTCAATGATGTCATTGACAAATTGAATAATAAAGGTAGCTGCACTCTTTCTCGATTTGAGCTCTGCGTTCGATACCATCAATCATGATCTTCTTTTGGCAAAATTGCAGTATTATGGGGTTCGAGGACAAGCTCTGAAACTTTTTCAATCTTATTTGCAAAACAGAAAAATGTTCGTAGAAATAAAAACAGTGAACGATAGCATGTCTGAAATGGTGAGGAAGTCCAAAATGATTAACGTAAAAGTGGGTGTACCTCAAGGCTCCATTTTAGGTCCCGTATTATTTATTACTTTAATGATTTAAACAATTATGTACGTAAAATGACAGACTCAACAAAGCTAGTCCTCTTTGCAGATGACACTAATGCTGTTATCTCAGCCTCTGAAATAGTGACTCTAGAAATTAAAATAAACCAAATATTGGAAATCATTAGAATATGGTTTACTGTCAACGGCCTGTCGATCAACACTAACAAAACAAATGTTATGTTATTCCGCAATAACGTCAGAAAAAACACAACCCTGAATGTTACACTAGGTGATAAAACAGTACAGTCTGTAGAAGTAGCCAAATTTTTAGGAGTGAGGATAGACAGTGATCTGAAGTGGAAACATGAATTAGACGAGATTGAGGGTAAAATAAGCTCAGCTTGTTACGTACTAAGAAGCTTACGGGATGAAGCTGATCTTGATCATTTAAAATTGGTTTATTACGCATTGGTGGAGTCAAGATTACGTTATAGTATTTTATTTTGGGGGGGGGGGGGGGAGCTTTAAATATAATGTACAGAAAGCCTTTGTTCTGCAAAAAAAGAGCAATCAGAACCATGGTCCGGATAAAAGCACAAGAATCGTGTCGCGAACACTTCAAAAGACTTGGGATCTTGACTGTTCCATGTCTGTATATACTGGTCTTACTCACGCAATTTGCAAAAGTTATTGGCGAATATGAGACGATAGACCAAAAAAACATAAGAGAAAACACTAGAAGAAAAGACTTTCATAATAAAATCGTCCCTCGTATGGTAATTGTTCGCGCCAAACGCTGTCAAGAATCGACGCCAGATGTCACTCGGCTCGGCGCGATACCGGTTAAAGTTCGGCCGAGCGTGGCAGTGGCGCGCGGGTCGCGAGTGAAAAGGCAGAGTCGTCTGCTAGCTGTGCTTGGAACAGCACGCTGTCAATTTTGTTAGGGAACTCGGAATAATTAGGTGGGGCCCGTAAATATACGGTCTAGGATTTTGTGACGCGCATTCCTGCTGGAGAGCTTCCCAGGGACTTATTGGGTCCGACTCAGAATCTGTATAAGTGCATTCGACAATATTAGCTAGTGCGGCCTGATATTCTAGAACTAACTGTTGCGACGCGAAACGGTAGTGACCTTTGATCCGTAAACTCCGTGTGCGTTTTGTGCGTTAACCTTATAACCAGCGATAGTTAGTGGCTTCTGTAAGTTAGTAAATCGTACGATAGAGTTAATTGACTCTCATCGTGACGAACGAGGAAAGTGACTGTGGTCCGGCGCCGAAGCAGTCTGAAGCGGTGCAGCATTTTGGAGCAGCCTGGAACTCGGCCGCGGCTGGTCGCCTATGCTTGACAAGGCCCCACATATTCACACCTCACTGTACACTACTCGCCATCCACTATTACACACACCCACGGCCTGCACAAGCCTTGGTGCGAAGTTAGCTTCGGATAATGGTAAGTACTATGTCTTTCTAGCGTCCTCCCATCTGGTTTATTGTAATTAGGAATTTCCACGTGGCCATATTCTGGCCCCGTCCCTCTGCTGCTCGTCGATGGGATTACTCATGGGCCATAATCCCGTCAGTCTTGGTTGGGGCAGCTAGGGGCGTGTACAGTAATGACTAGACACTGTTCTCAATATCGATCAGTACTTCTATTTAATAGACTACCTACGGACTTAAAAAATATGTTATACAAGGATAGTTTCAAAAATATCTTAAAAAAGTTCCTACTGGAAAAATGTTATTATAGTGTTGACGAATTTCTACATGCTGATACTACAATATAATCTTCAACGTTTTAAAATTTTTGATGACATTTAAAAATAATCGTAATTTTTTTTGACATATATTGTTATTATATTTTGTGATATTTTATACTTTGTCTTATTGACTGATGAGATTTGACTTCTAATTTTTATTGTAAGTTCTATATACTTAACTGTAATTTTTCATAATCTAATTTTTATATTAATTGTTAAAATAATTTTAATTTAATATTGATTGTAAATTATATTTTTGTTGTAATTTTATATAATTGTAAATTTGGTTGTTAAACATTTTAATTGTATTTTTGCATGAATGATTCTACAGAATTTGTATTGGTCAGAATTAAATAAATAAAATAAAAAAAAATACCGTCCAGTTTGATTTGTAAGAGGAGACAGAGAGAACTGTGACACGGATGTCGTGCAGCAGCATCTTCCTGAGCTCAACATAATAAAAAAACTGCAGATGCCAAATCCACCTGCCACGCGTGGCAACTATGGCAAATAACCCTATATGAGGGCCTTTTCGTCAAAACTCGATTCGCTCTCCATCTAGTTATATAAAAATCGAGTCCTTACAAATAAACTTTCAAACATCTAGTAAATCGTAAATGTTCAAACAAGAATTTAATTCATGCGGCCACTTATTTGTGAATAAACATGAGAACCATCTCTTTTTTATGGATTTTGTAAGGGTTACCATCACGAAAACAGTCTTCATCATCGTCAATACGGCCTTTCACAAGTCCTCCTCCTAGGAATGCCGAAGAAAAGCATCTGAGTCCATCGACTTTTTGCATCTCTTACCAGCAGTTGAACTGTTGAGTTTTGATAGGATTTTAGTTACAGCCTATATACGTCCCACTACCCTGTACCCAACAGGCCTCCGCTCATTTCTGAGATTTTTAGAACAATGAACTGTCCACCGCGCTACCCCAGTGCGTGTTGGCGGACTTAACATGGCTTCAAACATTTTTTTTATGATTGGCTAGTAAATAAATGAATGGTTTTCTCAAAATGTTAACTCCAGAGCCTCCCCCATTTTAGGGAGGATTTATCATAATCGTCATGCTTAGCAGGCAGTGTCATTACAGTGCCATTTCACATGTTTGGCTCTCTTCCCCGTCGTCCTTCCCACAAGGAGAGAGGCTCATGATAAGCTGTTGACTTCTACGGGCTGATGCAGACATAATTTAAAATTTTGTACAACAGACTTCAATATAAATTATTAAGAATAACTCAAAAACTATTGGTCTGACCTTGATCAAATTTATATGGGACCACATGTGAAGCACCAGCTTTCAAATGAAAAAAGAATCATCGAAATCGGTTCACCCAGAAAAAAGTTATGAGGTAACACACACAAAAAAGTAACATGCAGTCGAATTGAGTACCGTCTCCTTTTTGAAGTCGGTAGGAAAGAGAATTGAAAAACATTCTAAACTTTTTATTATTAAATATGTTTTAGTAGTAGTCTCTTTTTACAACCATACATCTTTTCTTTCCAGGTAATAATAAAACTATCGGGCTGTAACGACGACATGGAAGACGAAAGTGAAATATACATTGGACTCATACCCTTGGAAATAACAACTAGAGGAAACAGATATGTGCACCCATTGAGCCACAGCCTACCCGATGACCCCATACCGGACCCCAATTCCGCCCCCAACTTTACAAGTCTACCCCCATACATGTCCGGGGGCATGGGAACCGAACACAAGTCAAGTGCTACAAATTTGCTCAACGCAAGCAATAGTACTCCTTATGGTAGTAAGAGCAATATGAGTACGTCCACCGTGCACTCTATAAATGCTAGGACAAGCCCCCATTCGCCATATCTAATGCCGTCAGCCCCTTACCTTGTTCAAGAGAAACCTAAGTCTTATGAAATAGGGTTTAAAATATAGTGCATATAAAGTGACCTGTCACTAAAGTATTTTTTTAATAATTTCTTATATTTATGCTAATATAACGTATTGAATCAAACAAATATTATAGATTGTATGACGTTTAATTTTAACGTATATTGTCAATGTTTCAAGTGTTTTGCAATTAAGTCTTATGGATACTGAGGTTTTTGTCTCCTGATATTGTTAACCCACATTACATTCAGTTTTAAATTATTTATTTTTAATTTGATTTTTTGAATTTACAGTATCTTAAAGATTAGTACTTGTACGCTGAGCTGCAAAACATTTGAAACATCAGTAGTATGAAAAAAATTAACTACTAAGAACTTTTTTGAAAATTTGATAGATTGACATCGAAAATATTTATTGATTTGAAAATAAAAAAATGAGCATGGCTAAGGCAAGCCGAATTTTATGTCGTCAGTATAGGTATCGTAGATATGTTGTATCTATGACTCGGCTGATACGCTCGCTTAACTATAGTTTTTTTTTTAAATAGTACAATAAAATTACTTAAATCGAACACTGTATATTTCAAGTTCTAGCAGTGTTCGGACAGAATTGGTCCATTGAGCCGGACATTATCTCCGTTTTTTAGAAGTATGTTTTCGTAAAGAATTAATTAAGTAAACTTTAAATAAACATATTTATTAGATTATCTATTTATCAATAAGGAAAATATAATATAAAGAACTTAGATTGTGTTGGCTTTCAAGAATATATATTATAAATGTTACTTACGGGATTTAGTGTAAAGTACTTACTTTTTTGTTACGTTTTTACTGTAGGCTTCATCTCGTTTCAATATGATCACAATAGTGACAATATATAAACTACCTCAGCTTTGAAGCGGTTGATGCCCTTCACAAGTTACCCATTTGTGATTAAGCGGAGGTCCGAACCTCTACGTGGCCTTTCACGTTAAACAGTTTAAAGTTGCTTAATATGCTGCCAACAATTCTAGTCGAACTATTGAAGAATAAGCTGAAATGAAAGCAATATAGTAATTGATTCTGATTAATTGTTTTTACCACGTTATAATTAACTTGCTTTCGTATGTCTGTCCGTATTGAATTGAGTAATTGATTTTTAAACTTACTTCTCGTTGAGCTAGTAGACTTGAAATTTTGAACATAGCTCAGAATCGAATGGCGACGTAAGAATAACAACGTAAAAAGTGATATGTTTAAAAAAATAATACATAATTTTGAAAATGTTGACATGTTATCTACCACATATCCGAGAGAAGTTTATAATAAGCCGATTGCAAATTAGCATCGATCATTGAAATTTATATGGAACCGCGGCGAAAGTGCATTTTTTTTTTTATATATATATATAATTTTCAATCTCAGTTAAAGCGTTGGAGATATTGTGTTACATTTATAAAAACAGTTTAGTAACTGAGGATCATCCCTCTTTTGAAGTCACTTTAAAAGTTCAATTATTACCGATTTCAATTTGTCGTCTTTGGTTTTGAAAAGAAATGTTCTATAGTTAAAAATGCACAAATTAGTACGTAATATTCACCTTTTAGTTGACTTTTTTGGAACAAGTGTAGCTGTTATTTTACATATTTATGGAATAAATGAGAAAGTTTGTATCATGCGATCAGTACGCCGTGAGATTTATAAGCTACTAGCTGGCCAGACAGACGTTATTCTGCTGACGAGCCTTTGTCAAAAAAAAACCTTAATTCGCAATAAAAATATTGAGGGTCGCTTATCGGGACAAAAACTATGCTCTCTAAAATTGGAGCAAACAATACACTTTGACAAAAATTTTAAAATCGGTTGAGCATTTTCGAATATTAGCGTTAACGAACCGGACACGGGATTTTTATATATTAAGATAGAATAAGTAAAATTATGTATTGATGCATGCTTTAAATGTATTGTTTTGTTCCATAGGTTTTAAAGAACAATCTTAATTTTGCTTCTGTTTTTTTACCGCTGCGACAGTACTCTTTTCTATAACTTGGTGCCTAGAATAGTCAATCTACATTTTTGTAGTTATATATTAACTATATTAATGAATATGATAAAAAACGGCAAATTAAAAATAATTGACTAGACGAGCTTAAATACTGATATTACTAAAGTTTATTACAATGAAGGCTGTGTGCAAGAGAATTTGTAGTTAGTTAGTTGCTGGTGTAATTTAAAGTTCTTTAAATTATTTTAATATTAGTTGCCTTTTTGGCACACTTTACAACGGGAAAGGCTCATGACGACCCGTGCGTGGACTTTTACAGGGCGGTAAAGAAAAATAATTGACGTTTAATCATCACATATTTAAAAAGAAAATAATTTTAGTAACAGAAATAGAAGCAACTTAATTTTTTTTTATAAAAATAATTTATAGCTTAAGTAGTATCAAGCGGGCAGGCTTATAATATTGCTAGTAGAAATATAATTTATTGTATTGTGCTTCGTTAAATACGTTTTTATTGGAACAAAACTGTCATAGTAAAATTTATTTAAGTAATGTTTAAATGGAATTCAACAACTTAATTAAATCCGCATAAGGGCTTGTACTTTGTGCAATTCCCTAAATAAAAATATATTGTATGTCATTTATGAACAGCATCCCACCAAGTATAATTTACAATATTATATCTATTGATTTGATGAAGGGATTGCACGTTTTATTTTTTCTGTTGAATATTTAGAGATTTGTATGTTTTTAAAAACCGTGTTTATCGATTTATTCAATACTTTTATTTTTGAAGTGTTTACCACATATATTATAGCGTTTTTAAATATAAGACAATTTTTCATTTAGTTTTTGTATTTTATGAATAAAAGACGAAAATCTATAAGGCGTTTTATTTTTAACTTGTTAAAAGACAGAGGCGAGGTTACTTCTTATTGCTATATCTATTCAGATACTATATTCACTTCTCTAAGCTATTCCTTAAGTCAGAATCTTTTTACTTTAGTCCATGGACAGTTTGCTGCTGGACAATGGCATTATATATTAGTCTATGGACTATGCTCATACGACTGCTCTATCGACTAACCAGCAAAAACTAATACAATATGCACATCGTGCGTTCTACCTAAAAAGTATTACTCGATTCAAACTTAAGCGGCTTTGAAATTAGCTGCGAGTGCGGTTTCGCGATGGTCGGGTAATGTTATCTTATTACAAAATTTTAAATTTAGAAAATAAAACCATTACACATTCACAATTTTAATACAAAAGATGACCCGTGGAATTAGTGAATTAAATAAAACAATTAAAATACCTTGGGAATAGGTATTTAAATCTTTTTTTTTTTTATAGGATAAGGGTGACAAACGAGCACACAGTCCACCTGATGGTAAGTGGTTACTGTGGCCCATAGACATCTACATTTATCTTCGATTAAGAATCAAAATGCAGATGCGTTGTCAGCCGTGAGGACTAAGATGGAATGCCTCGTTTCCAGTAAAAAGGGTCTCCGGTTCTCTACACTCACCATACGAAACACAGCAGCGTTAAACTGCTATTTTACGCTGGTATTCTGTAAGAGCGTGGTCCTTCCCCGGTCGAGCCGACCCATTCGTGCTACAACCATAATATAGCTGCAGCATGACTCTACCAAATCTTTAAATTTATCTGTCTAGTTTAAATGTATTTTATTGAAAAAACATAACCGTTACCATTACATCCTATCCTGAACATAGTCCTTCCGCATAGATGGCCTGATAAGGGGCATAGTTGCCACGCGCGGCTGGCGGATTTTAATTTTTTATTGTTAGGAAGACGCCGCCCATCTTCTGGTTTGTTTCCCTCTGTCGCCTTTTACGACACTCACAGGACGCTATGGAGTAGTGGATATTCTTAAACTGTGATCACACGTTTAGTAGAATACGAGTTACGTTAAAACAGCAACGGTAAACAACTAATAATGTTTTTAGAACTAGCTTAGTTTTCCGAATGCGCTCATTTCGCTTTAATAAAAAGCAAATACAATGTAATAAACATTTTTATTATAAAAAAAACTTTGATATAAATTTGTCGTAAAAACAAATAAAAATATGCATATAAAATATTATATCCTTACAACTATAAATTTATATAAAATATAAAACAATTCAAACACAGTCCATTGTAAAAATTATCCATCAACAAATGCTATCGAAAAGCCTACCAATAAAAGGCAATTTTGATTATTTTTTCAGGCATGACTAGATTAAGTTACATAAATTTCATAAATATCAAATATTGTAGTAATCATGCTTGACAAAATTGTTAACCTTACTCATGGGCGCCGCCAGGATTACTTTCAGGGAGGTGCATCTGCATCTACACATTATACTGTTAACTAATATAAAATATAGAATTATACATGTTTATTATCTAAATAAATGTATGGTAGGGTATTTAATTGAATATACTTCGAAAACATACTTAATATCTGTAGTCGATGGTAGGCATTATTGCTCGCAGAATCCCCGCTGCCACGCGACATGCTCAGTGTTTACAGGGAAGGAGTAAAAGTTTTTGAGACACTGTCTGAATCGCACGCGAACACGTACACGCATTAAAGAGTGCGAGCATGTTCGCGTGCGTGTGTGTAAGACAGACCTATAGTTTTAGATAATTGTATCACAGGTATGATAAAGTTTCAACCTATATTATGCGGGAGAGAGAATTATTGATGCAAAGTTTTCAGATAAATATGTACAATTTAGGAGTTTATTCAACTGTGTTAACATAATCACCGGACCTGCCGGAACTCAATCTATTGTTTCAGACTTCCTATATAACTTTTTTTTCTTTGAAGTGCCGATAGGTAGTTGCCTACTTTGCCTTTAGGTTAATCTGGCCTTGAATATCTAATAAGATGGTTATGATAATAACGAAATATATTGAATAAATAAAAATATTTTTATATTGTTTAAAGTAAACGCCCTTACAATTAAAACAAATAATTCTTATCACGACTTGAAAATAACGCAAATTGAAATAAATACCAAAAAAGACGATGCAACTAGACGTAGACTGCAGCTATTTTAAAAATATAACAAAACTTTTTGATCTTATAACACAAACTATGCTTTGAATAATTATTTTATTTTGCTTATAGCACCGCATTTTGAATACTTCAGTACGTCAGTGCTTGAAAAAAAGTGATTGTCTATGTAATATTTCACTAGAAAAAACAGAAGAGGGCAGTGTAATACCTCGTTTAGACTCTCGCCTCGCGGCTCGCCTCGTACCTCGCCTCGCAGCTCGCGTGTTGTTGTGAGGTAACGAGTGCCTGTTTACACTCTCGCGATGCGGTCAGTTTGCGTTGAGCCAGCAACGATGAATGACGTCGAAATAATAGCGGCATCAACTCTTGCCTTAATAAGTATTTATCGATGTTTGACCATTTTAAAAAGATGGAAATTAATAAAAATACGTCGTTGAGGAAGAATATGACGGATGATATCTATTCATCGAAACAAAACCTTTTCAGTTTCATAATTTTATATAAATTGCGAGTACCTATTAAGATTAAATAATATTTTTATATTTTTTAATATTTTTATTATTTTATATATAGCAAGATTAAATAATATTATTTTATTAAAATTGTATTTTAAACCAAAAGCAATTCGATTGTTATTATGGAAGGGCGCCGTAAACAAATTGAAACGAGACGCGAGTGTAAACACCACGCTCGCGTCGCTCGCGAGGCCCTTTGCCTCGTGCCCAAAAAACCGCCTCCGACGCGAGCGCCGCGAGTGGCGAGGCGAGCTGCGAGGCGAGCCACGAGCTAGCGTTTACACTCGCGCCTCGTGGCTCGCCTCGCGACTCGCCTCGTCGCTCGCGCGAGAGTGTAAATGGGGTATTAGTGTTTGAATGTGTAGAATTAAAAATGTCAACTTTAGTCGACGTGGCACGAGTGTTCCGGAGCACCAGCGATTATGTCGGAAGTATTTCGTTTTTTTTTTACGCAATTGTTAGATTATTATATATCAAAATGAACTTTAGAATTTGTACTTTGTGATAATATTTAGGTGATAAAGTTTCACGTACTAGATCGACTCTAATTTGAACTCAAAAATATTGTTATTACGAAAACAGTGACATCATTGTAAATCACAGTCGCTTTTCGTCTTGTTTACGATTGATTTAAGAAATAATAGTGATTAAGTTTCTAATAAACAAACTAATACACTTTTTTAGTTAAAATATATTAAAATGTCAAAGGATTCACAAATAATAAGCGCGACAACTCGACAATCGTGAAGAGGCTGCAGCAAAATTGCAAGCAGAATGTATTTTGATTCGATTTGTTTAGCTACTTAAAAATAAATATCAAGATATTAGCATCATATTAAAGGGAAATTAATCTAGTTTTTTTTTGAAGTGCTTTGTTGGTAAAAATTACTATATTCTATGCTTACGGAACACATTTACACAAAGTTTTTTTTTTCACTCGGGAATTGATATTAAACCTCATTTTAGGTATAATAAGTTATCACTATCGATTTTTAAAATAGATACGTCATATTTATAAACGACCAGCTATTTTTTATTATTTTCATCTTCGCTGTAGCTATCATATTTTAGCTGTTACAAAGGTTTTTGTTACCGAGCAGCGGGGACAAATTGCTTGAGGCGGCGAGTAGTCGGACGTTTGACGTATATTTATATATATTATCTCATTATAATTAACATTTATGTGTAAAAGCACTTGGGTATATGACACTTTACTTATATATACTATATTAAATAAACACTGGAATGCTAAAAGTAAATTTAAGTCTAAAATATTTTCATACAGCCCGTACGGATAAGGAATAAAGAACAGGATTAGAAATGGCGGCTCATGGAGCATATACCGTAAACACAGACCACAAATACCAATAGCTAAAACCCGCTAATAACGGTACCTATATAGTTATAATTTTATATTATTCGGTTAGTTTGTAGATTTCTATTAATGTGGCAAAATATTTGAAAAGAATTGTATACCCAAGTAGGTACATTAATTTTAAAATATCATTTATAACTAGCAGCGCGCTCTGGCTTCGCTTGGATGGGATTTATTAATGTAGCGTTATTTAGACTTAAGATAATCATTAAAGACCATTTATTTTATTTTATCAATATTTCTATTCTAATAAAATCTCTAAATTTTTCGGATAGAATTTAGTCTAGATCACTCCTGATATTATTCTCTATTTGTGCGTGAAGTTTAGTTTTAATCGGTTCAGCCATTCCGAAGATTAGCTCGGACAGACAGGCAAACGGAAATTTTAAAAATGATTACTCATGTCTCAATTGCACATTTTACCCCTTGTTGTTATCATTGATTCCACTAACAAGACGGGCTGAAGTTTTAGATTGTACGGAAAACGCTTATCGCAACGTATTTTTTTTTTGCAGTCTTTACCGGCGAGTGTGGGCAAAGATAGCGATAGAGTGCGAGTGAGAGGTGAGTAGAGGCGACGCCATTTTCAATCCCATTCTTTGACCACACGAGTAGTAAGTACATTCGTCCTTTAAAATATTACTCTGTAAATATATTGCATAAGCTTTTATTAATAATTGTATATTATTTCTCAAATTAAGTGATTTCTGCTCAACAGCATTAATCATTGTCATGTCCGGGCTTGAATAATAAGAGATTCATTTTAATGAGAAACAGTAGCGCGAGCTTAGTCTTAACATACCTTATTCTTTCTTTGACTACCTCGATGGTCGTATCCCGACTGCTGAACATGGGGTCTAATCCCAGTTCGGGCCGAAATCAGTTATCGGGCCAGGTTACGTCTCCAGTCGTGTCGCATTGTCGTTCTATTGGATTATGAGAGCGAGAGAATAGAGAGTGCAACTGTGCTTGGACATACAATCAGGCAATATAATAAATCTTGCCCTGTCCAGACTGCTAATCTTAGTTGAGAGAGGCCGCCTTGACCGAAATTCAGTCTGGAAGACATTATTGTTTTTTATGTTTTCTGTAATAGATACAGATGCTCAAGGACTGCAGAAGTCACTTACTAATCTTAGTTGAGAGAGGCCGCCTTGACCGAAATTCAGTCTGGAAGACATTATTGTTTTTTATGTTTTCTGTATTAGATACAGATGCTCAAGGACTACAGAAGTCACTTACTAATCTTAGTTGAGAGAGGCCGCCTTGACCGAAATTCAGTCTGGAAGACATTATTGTTTTTTATGTTTTCTGTAATAGATACAGATGCTCAAGGACTGCAGAAGTCACTTACTAATCTTAGTTGAGAGAGGCCGCCTTGACCGAAATTCAGTCTGGAAGACATTATTGTTTTTTATGTTTTTGTGTTAGATACAGATGCTCAAGGACTGCAGAAGTCACTTACTAATCTTAGTTGAGAGAGGCCGCCTTGACCAAAATTCAGTCTGGAAGACATTATTGTTTTTTATGTTTTCTGTATTAGATACAGATGCTCAAGGACTGCAGAAGTCACTTCGTGGATGATTAGTTAGAGAAAATCTAACCAAAAGGGTTCCTTAGTAAAAAAGTAGCCCTACCAGTAAGTGCTAATTGATTATTATATATTAAAATTTTAAATAAGATCGATAATACATTTGGATGTAGTTGTTAGTCGAGAGGGAATGCTTATAATCAAATATTGACTTAACCTGAAATTCGACACTCGGACAGTACAACTACATTAGCACTTATTCTACAAAATTAAACAATTATGCAATTAATTAAAGTGTTATAAAGATATACATTTTGTATAGAGTTAAATATACTTATATTATAATAAGCTTCAAAATGTATGGCAGCATTAAGATGAGTTAAGTAACAAATGTTATACGTGAATATTATCATTGAGTATCACTTTTCGTCTTTCTTGTCGACGTATTCGGGGTTGTAAGGCAGGTCAGTTTGTTCTGAAAATGTTCTTATATTTCATAGATAGTTTGGGATTAACTTAATAATTAGTCATTCAATGCCAAAGAGCAACACGGACCACCAGCGGACCGGAGTAGAGTAGCCATAGCGTTTTTTCCCGACACATAACTATCTGTCATTTTTTGCGGGGACAAATCTGCGCACACGAAAACAATCGTCTCTCACTACGAAACTCACACTTCACAATTAAAACAATAAACAATCAATTTCACACACACACACACACACACACACACACACACACACACACACACACACACACACACCCACACCCATACACACACACACACCACACACCCACCCCCCCCCCCCCACACACACACACACCCATACACACACACACACACACACACTATAACTCTCTCTCTCTCTCTCTCTCTCTCTCTCTCTCTCTCTCTCTCAGATAGAGACTCGGATCAGTCGCTGTCACTTTTGCAATTGTTTTATTATTTTCAGTTGTTATCAAGAAGATGGTACTGCCCATCTCCTGTTTCAGTTTTCTCTCTGTAGCCTCTTACAACACCCACGAGATGATATGGGGTAGTGGCTTCTTCCCACTAATATTATAATACTTTTGATAGACTGAAATAAATGATGAACGATCGAAAAGACTACGCGTAATAAGTTAATATTAAAAGTTATTCATGCTTTCACCACTAGTTTGGAAAAAGTCCCTGCCTTTTTTTAAGTAATAATTTACAATGTTACGTGAAAAGTGATAATCGTCGCACGCACGCAAGCACGCACGCACGCACGCTTTGTTCTGTCTTCACAATCCGTTCCCTACTGACCTCATATATTCAATCTCCAATTTTAATCTGCAGATATACATGTTTTGTTTCACATTAGCTTCTAAAAACTCTAAATAGAAAAATAAATATATCTTTCTTTCGTCATCTGTACATAAATTAGTTCTTACTTTCATGATCGGGTGTGGCGGGTCCAGGCGCGCTGGCTGTGGCATATGAATTGTTTGCCGGCTGAAATAAAATAATTTAAAGTCGTTGTTTTCTCGACTATATTAAATTATTCAGTTCAGTTATTATAAATAATGAATACTTACAGTAGTAGGATAAGGTAGATCAGCACCAGGTGGTAGTGAAGGTGTTGGGACAGCTTTAGTATCACCTTGTACAATAAAACCAATGGTTCCTGTCTTCAGTGCGGTACTACTACCGGTTAAAACTTGGCTTCGATTGATTTCCGGAGGATACTGTACGTTGGGGTATGGCAATGGGTTTTGTGCCAGATAAGGTGATTTGTTAGAGGGATAAGGAGCCAAGCTTTGATGTGGAGTCGAGTTGACCGCGGGATAAGGTGAGTTGATCGGAGTAGGTGATGTGGGATATGGTGGATTTGGGCTAGGTATATTTGTACCTGGATATGGTGAAATGCTTATTTGCGGATTTAAGGGGTACGCCAAAGTTGCACCAGGGTAAGGCGCAGCCGCACCCGGATAGGGTTGGTTTGCACTGGGGTCAGACGGAGTTACACCTGGATAAGGTTGGTTTGTGCCAGGATATGGTATATTCTCGTAAAGGTTCGGTGGATTGGGGCTCGCGGGAAACATAGATTGATTCAAGATCGGCATTTGGTCTTGTAGAGGATTCGGGACGTTGTCCTGTTGCCCGACCAACGGGATCGTGCCGATGACAATACGCCTCTTTTCTTCAATGGCACAGTGACATCCTTTAGGAGTAACAGTCACCTAATAAAGAAAGGCTACAACCATTAACATATAATAAACCATTTTAAAATATTTATCATAGTAAATAAACAGTCATATGTTCTTCCCCATAGCAGGGAGGATAGCCAGTTATCGGCAGTTATAGCAGTATCAGATGTGCTTTTCATCGTTTTTGTTTTCTTGAATCTAAAAAAAGGAAAAAAAATGTTTACTTTCACTTCTTTTATTATGTGCTATATGATTATCCACTCAACCGTCCGCCCCGCGCGAGTGATTCTCGCCTGACCTGTCCGCGCATTAAATGTCACTATTTTTACGACCGCGCGAGACAGTCTTAACTCAAAAACTTTGATCAAAGATACTGATGTTTATAGTTTCAGTGCCTCTTAAGAAAATATCACGTACCTTAAACTCATAGTCTATACCAATGTACTGACAGAATCCGAAGTTGTACACATCTATAGCAGGCACCTCCATATCCACCATCCAGCTTCTGGTGGCACCTCCGGGAATAGGACCTTTTTTGATCTCTGCTATCGTTTCCGTTTCGTGCCTAGTGTCCGGGTTTACGTTTGCACGGAAGGTTATTTTCTGTCAAAGAGAAATTTAGATACATTCGTAAGAAAGAAATCATCAAGAGTTTATTGTCCAAGGCTTTAAAGTAAGAAAAGAACCGAAATAAAAGTATGGAGGGGACCAATGTAAAATAAATACAGGGTTATTTTGAAAACTATGCTCAAATTTGCAGAGGAGGTTCAGAAGGAAGTTAGGTTATATAGGCGAATGTTGAAACTATAACTAAAAAAATGTGCGTGTCTGCTCAGACGCGTGACTACAGTTTACTCCTCAGTCAGATGCGTAACTGAAAAACGAATGTATTAAAATATATACAATAAGCAAAGAAAGTAAATTAACTCATATATTTATTTATATTAATTTGATAAAACATATTACATAAATCATATTTTTTATTCTTGGAGTATTCATAAGCAAACTATAGAATAGAATAGAATAGAACATTTATTTGCTTAAAACATGGTTCATAAGATGGTCAATGATGTGGAACTGACATGTTTTGCCATAATTGGCATGCAAAAATTAATGAAATACTTACAACTAATTACACTAAGCCAATATTACATTTTAAAATTACTTCATCATTACTTAAAAAATATGAACAAATATTATTTTTGAATTCAAATATTATGTACAATTAAATGCTTATACAGACTCATTCAAATATAAAGAATTCTTGAATTCTTATACAATAAATTTTTCATAAATTATTAATTGAATTATTTTTACATGATTAATATTAAATATTATATGATATTAGTTAAGCCATTATTATTCTAATTATTACATTACAGTATAAATTAATTCATAATTTTAATTGCAATAAAATTATAATTTACAAATCTCTAGCTATTATTCAAATATTATTCCATTTAACTTAATACATTATTTTACATTTTAATAAATAAATAATCAATATAAATTAGTTATGTTTTTAGAAATAAAATGTCTATATTCATTAAAACTAAATTTTACATTAATACAATAAATATGACAAATTTATAATTAATTGTATACAAAGGTATTATGTTATCTCAAAATACTCTGTTACACTATACAAACATTTATCAATCAGCCATGATTAAAGCGCCTTTATAAAGAGAGGAGAAGATAACTCCCTGATATCAGAGGGAATTTTGTTATAAATTTTAATAGTCATCATGTAGCAATTTTTTTCAAAAAGTGAGCTTTTGATCATGATGGAGCCAAAAGGCGGTTAGTGTCTCTGGGGCGTAGCCGTTGATTGACCATTTCAAATTTCTGAAATAATTGTGGATGATTTCTAACAAAAAGTCCTTCTTCTAAGATGTAGAGGCCTGTTAACGTCAATAATTTAAATTTTTTAAATAATGGTTGGCATGTGTCACTTGGTCCTGCTCCTGAAATAGCTCTTACACATTTTTTTGTATGATAAATGTTTTATTTATATCTGGAGAATTTCCCCATAATATAAGGGCCATATCTCAGCACTGATGCAACATAGCCGTAATATGCGGTTAATGCCGTTTTTTCTCCAGCTGTACATCTTAAACGCCTAAGGACATATACGAATCTGCTCAATTTTGTGTAAATGCGTTGTATGTGTGCCTTCCAATTGCAATACTGGTCAAGAATAATACCCAAAAATTTGGTATCCTTTGCTTCTTGAATTTCTTGTTCTTGGCAAACTATTTTGAGATTCACTCGATTTGAATTATAATGCGAAAACTGTATAAATTTTGATTTTAATACATTGACACACAGTTTATTTTGGAGTAGCCATTCATTTATATATTTAAGTGTTTCATTGATGGTTTGGTTGTAGCTTGCGGCTTTGTCACGGTTTGGAATTACTACTGATAAATCATCTGCATATAAAACTGATGGATAATTAATTAATTTAGGTAAATCATTTATATAAATTAAAAACAACAATGGGCCCATGACGCTCCCCTGTGGGACACCGTATTTATTATATAGAAGAGGTGATTTAAATGAAACTATTTCATAACTTTTATTTATCTTACTGATTTCTACGCATTGCAGACGATTAAAAAGGTAACTGCTAATCCAGTTCAGAGCATTCCCTCTTATACCCCATCATTCACATTTAGTCAAGAGTATCTCATGATCTACAAGACCAAAAGCCTTGCTCATATCGAAAAATATAGACACAACTGGCACCTTCTTGTCTATGTTTTCTGTTATTATTTTTATTAGAGAGTAGGCTGCAAGAGTTGTCGATTTATTCACCTGGAAACCGTTTTGCTCTTCAGCTATTACACTATGCTTTTTTTAAAAGTCTATAATTCTTTTTATCATTACCTTTTCAAAAATTTTAGAAAGTATAGGGACGAGAGTTATTGGACGGTAGTTGTCCATATCTTCAGTACTATTTTTCTTATGTAAAGGCTTTACTATAGACTGCTTTAGAGCTTCGGGAAATACACCTTGAACAAAAGAAATGTTTACGAGGAAGCTCAAAACTGGTGCAAGTTCTACTATACATGACTTAAACAATAATGTAGGCAGTAAGTCAATACCCACAGATTTGGTGTTATTTAAAGACTTAACTATATTAGTAATTTCTTGTTCAGAACATGGCAATAAAAATAAGCTGCTACATATATTATTAACGTAACGTTGCAATGGGACTACGATATTATTTTGTTTATTATTAAAATTTAAAAAATAATTATTAAAGGCTGTAGCAATTTTATAAGGATCATCAATACTCTTATTATTTACCATTATCTTATTAATTTCATTAAATTCTTTCATTCTATCACTATTATCCTTGATTACAATCCAGGCTGCTTTGCATTTATTTTTAGCGTTTGTAATTATTCTATTATTGTATAATCTCTTTGATGCGTTGACACATTGTCTTAATAATTTTGTGTATTTTTTAAATCTCAGCTTACTTTTCAAGGTGTTTTCTCTATAGTAAAATGACCTGAGTTTTTTTTTTGTACTATATATTGCTATGCCTTTTGTTATCCATTTTGGTCGTACGTCATTTACTTTTACTTTAATCCTTTTCTCTGGGAAAAAAAGTTTAAAATATAAGCATATATCTTCGTGAAAATTATTGAATGCTGTATTCAAGTCAGTTTTATGTCTATATACCTCACTCCAGCTAAGATTAGAAATGCATTCCTTGAATTTATTTATATTTTCTTTACTTATTTCTCTAACCTTTTTGTACCAGTGATTCAACTTTCTTTTCATTTTTGGAATACTACTAAATTCCAAGGTTTGAGCAGTATCATGGTCAGATAAATAGAGATAGTGGACTCTGCCTTTAGCGTCTTCGATATTACTAGCAAAATGGTCAATACATGAATTAAGCCTTCGTCGTTTTATTAGAAAACTCTAATATAGAGTAGAATTAAGCAACGTCAATATGAAGGTTTAGATTATAAGTTGCCAGTACGATTTTTAGTTCCTTAGTTACGTTATTATTTTTCAGTGTATTCAGATCACCGGCAAGAATTATTTTTCTTTTTCCATTCCTAGTTAGCCTAAATAAGAGAAGATCTAATGCATTCATAAATACAGGTAAGTTAGAATTATCAGGTGTTCTATAAACACAAATTATAATACAATTAAACAAGGGTATGTCAACAGCACACGCCTCAAAATCTCTCTCTTTTGTCAATGAAGAACATATAGCAATTGGTTTAAAAACAATTGATTTCCGTAACAATATACATACTCCACCGCGTTTTTGGTTTTTTCTACAGTACGATGTGGCTAATTGAAATTGTTTTAATCGTATATTCGTTTCGCTCCCTCTCTTTACAAAGATTTCCGAAAAACAGAGTACATCCAATTCATTATTGTTTTTAGCAAAGTCATTAATACATATTTCCAATGTGTCCAATTTACTTAGCAAACCCTGTATATTTTGATGAAATAATGTAAAATTCGACGCAGTTTCCTGGTATTTATGAAAGAAAAAAGTTATTGTTATTGCATATTTTAGTCATTTGATTGAGTTGAGTTTTATTTTTTAACACAGAAAAATAATCTAATATAGTAGTTTGCCGTAAATGAAATGTATTCTTAGGTCTGTAACATTTAGTTTTCATAGAATAACGAGCATAGATAACAATTTTTTTAGGGTCTAGAAAAGTTTGTGCATATTCGTCACTATCAACATCTAAATTAATTTTATTACAAAGCTGCTTAAGATATACAAATTTATTATAAAAATTATCCGATGAAAAATCTAAAAATTTGCATTTTGGAAATAACTTTGTACATAATGATAGCCTATTGTTTAACAATTTTACATTGAAATGTTTATTAGAGCGCACTGGCACTACATAGACACGTATATGTTTCACTTTGTTAAGTGCTGAGTAAAGTTCAGACTCCAGTTTTATTATGTTGTCATCATGCCCTCCTACACCAAGCACAATCACGTCTTCTTTTGTGAGACTGTTAAGGAACGAGTCGTCAAGGTATTTCAGACTATGTGAGCTTGGTGCTTGACTTATTATAAATGCACTTACATTGTACTTGTCGTTCCATTTTTCAGCTCTAGTTTTGAGTAAGGCAAGGGATAGCCCGGAAAGTTGTTCGTCCCCCAAAATTACAATTTTTTTGTTTGTTTTTAACAGGGCTGGTTAACTGAGGCATATGTAATAAATTATCCAGTGCTTTGTCCTGTTCAAGGTTTGTAATAGCTGCATTTTCATTTTCTTCTATTTCTAAACTTTCTATTAATGAGTTTTCATTTTGTAAATCCGTGGAGGACAGTCCTATATTCTTCGTGTTAATCATCATCCGCGTATTTTTTTTTGGGTGGTTTTTCAGTTGATCCGCATATTTGTAAGAGTTGCGTAATTTTTTGCTCTTGTGTAGCTATTTTTTTCTTTAATAAACTGTTCTCTAAAAGTACATTGTCAATTTCTTGATTTGCTGATGCTAATTTTTCATTTAGTTCTCCTATTTATACGCTTCATATTCTGTATTTTTTCTTTGTCATCCGGTCTCAAGTCAGGACAGCTTCTGTTCAATGTATTATGTAGTAGCTCGGGAGATGGGAGCACTGTATCCTCCTCTTCATCATCAACTAAGAGCGAGTCAAAAGAATTTTCTATTGGTATGTTACTTGTGTGCTTTACTTGACACGTTATATTCTTATCCTGTCTACTTTTAGGAGAATCTAGCCTGAATCCTGACTCAGGAGTGCATTGATCCAATAGTAAGTTTCGTCTTTCACTTTTAGGAGTAGATTTTTCAAGTGATAGAATTTTAGTTTTGAGATTTGAAGTGGGACTGTGTGTTTTCTTTGTAATTGATACGTTCGTGAAATTATCATTAGCAGGAGTTGTATATGACGTGCTTGGGACGTTACTTAAACAATGAATGTTAGAGTATAGAGTGTGAACAGTAAGCACAGGTGTGAACAGTATCGAAACGGCGAGAATGACGTTATTAGTCACGAAAGGTCATGTGCGTTATTTCCCTCGACGATATTTATTTATAATGTTATTTAAGTTATCATCGTGAAATGTGCAATGCAAAGCTGCAAAAACGATTCACGGGGTAAACTAATAGCAACAACCCAAGCAGCATACAAGCGTTATGAACATCAATATACCAGCCCACATAGAACTTAGAGTTCTTTTAAAAGCGTATAAGGGTGTTGAAAAGAGGTTGTATCCTTATAAGAGTGGTTTATGAGTTATTTTATACAGTTCAAGCTGTATAAAGTCTGTATTATGGGATCTAAGTAAGCTTAGGGTTCTTAATTAGAATATGAAACCTCTAGTATACAACTAAGCATTATGTACTTCAATTTTATTTTACCATTAAAGTTGCATAGATGTTGTTTTTTGCATGCTGTCCCTTGTCTAAACAGCTCTAAGTGTTTATCACTAAAATCTTATTTCTGAACAATGGTGTGTGCAAACTATCTTCTAAAACTTATTCTTACAGTATTGTTACGAGCTTGGGGTTCGAGACAATTAAAAACTGCCGAATGAATTACCAAAATTGACACTTTAATTACGGAACACTAATTACTACTTAAAAACACACTAATAATAAAACACAATTGTACTACTGATCACTTTAGTTCGCAGTTATATCACTTCGAAGGATTCGCTTATATCGCCAATCCAATACTCTCCCGGTCGTGGTCTATACCGGCCTTATATAGGGCCTCAGATAGTTTCTAGAATCTTCTACTGTAGCGACATCTAGAATGTTCGAATACATATCGGTGCCGAAATTTCTAGAGGGATCTTGACTCTCCTAGTTATGCTACTCGAATACACAATCGGATACACGCATGTTTTTCACGTAACTTAGTAAGTTTACGTTCGGATATTTTAAACAAATCAAAATTAGATAGTACTCCAAATATTCGTAAAAACCGAATAATTATAAATATACTATTCAAATAATAAACGAAGTGAATATCCGAATAATTTGGATATCCGGATATCCGAATAATTTGGATATCCGGATATCCGAATTGCATGCCCTAGTCGGAATGCGCTACTTTTGGCTATATTTTATTTTTTGCTGGGTACAAAAAAGTTATATTTATTTATTCACGCGGTAAGATAAAACAGAAATTTGCGTGTATTCATATTTGATATGAAGCAGAACTTACAAAAATAAAAATTAATAATAAAAATTTAAAATTAAAAGTTTACCTTTGTAAGGGAGAGTATGATGTTAATCTTAACCTTGCTCTGATTTGAACAGTCCACCTTAATGGGTATAACCTGTCCGAGACAGTACCCAGACACAGGCAGTTTAACAACGGTCTCACTGGAGCCGTATATCATGCACAAGCAGCAGTATGTATCTTCTATGTCAAACTGCATCGGTTCCTGAAGACAAATAATATAATTCACTGACAATTTTATTGCCAACTGCCTTAAAAGGCATGCCTATTTCTCGAATGATTGCATGCTTGTAATAAAGTCTGTCTCTTCGACAATCCATTAAAATACCTATTTTTACGTCAAGACAGGGATAAGCACAAGCTTAGAAGTTAACGGCAGCCCATGGACACTCAGGAGAACCATCCGTTCATACATCCATTACAGCCTATAAAAGTCCAATGCTAAATATAGACTTCTCCCAAAGATTACCTCATAGAGTTGATTTTACCATACTTGCCAAGATTGGCAGGCGAGTTGGCAACTTTTTTTATAGGATAATGGTGACAAACGAGCACACAGTCCACCTGATGGTAAGTGGTTGCTGCGGCCCATAGACATCCACATCTATTCTCGATTACAAATCAAAATGCAGATGCGTTGTCACCCGTGAGGACTAAGATGAAATGCCTCTAATTTTCAGTAAAAGCGGTCTCCAGTTCCCTACACTCACCATACGAAACACAGCAGCGTTAAGCTGCTATTTTAAACTGGTTTTCTGTGGGAGCGTGGTCCTTCCCCGGTCGAGCCGACTCATTCGTGCTACAACTATACTACTAATATAGCTGCAGCATGGCTCTACCACGAAGAACCTGCAGCAAAGGCAGTTTTTTTATTACTTTGAGTTGTCATCAGGAAGTTGCTGCTGTACATCTTCTGTTTTAGGTTTCCTCTGTCGCCTCTCACGACACCCACGGGACGGTATGGGGTAATGTATATTCTTACACCACCACTACTCGGTTATTGTCATCGTAAATTATAAATTGCCAGGTTGTACAATACATACCACCGCCACTAAATTCTGGACAAAACTAAATATATTCGTATATATTCGTACGTATTCCTCCTAAATCGATATTGTTATCTTTAGACGCTGATAGTCTTTTCACAAATGTCCCATCCCCTGACTGTTTGCGTATACTCGCAGATCTAAGATAATGTACAAATTAATAAATTAAATTATCACAATATGGACCCTGTTGGGTATAGAAAATTAGAACAGAGGAGGACGCAAAGATGTTTTCTTATTCATTATTATTATTATATCATTCATTATTATTATATCATTCATTATTATTATATCTTTTATTATTATTATACCATCATTATTCACATTAATTATTCATTTATTTATAGTATTGCATTTATCATTCAGGTATTCATATAAAGTCTTTAGTAATTGTCTTATAAAAATATTATCATATGTTTCGTTTTTTAATGAGTTTGGTAGTTTATTATAGACAGTTATGGACATTTATGTAAGGGCCTGATGAGAAGAGCTTAATTTTAGAGGTTGGTAGCAATAATTTATTACGAGGGCTGCACTAAAATTATCGGGAATAGTATATTTCCACTGTTCCTGTCATATTAAAATATTTTTAATTGAAAAGTCCTTGGTTTTAAAAATCGAATACCATTTATTTATTTAAAAAAAGATTCTCGGTCTTGCCACAAGATTTTATCAAACTTGTTTAGTCGTTGAGAAAATGGAATTGACTCGAGAAAATTCAAGAGCGATGATTTATTATGACTTTCGAAGTGGTTTAACACAAAAACAGTGTGTTGACCGGATGATTTCTGCATTTGGTGATGAAGCCCCATCCAAAACCACAATTTATCGCTGGTTTGCTGAATTTCAACGTGGACGTGTCAAGCTCAGTGATGATCCCGTCAAAGTCGTCCAAAAACTGCAGTCACCCAAGAAAACGTTGATGCTGTGCGTAACCTGATTGAGGAAGATCGACATGTGACATACCGCGAAATTCAGGCAACTTTAGACATTGGCATGAGTCAAATACAAATAATTTTGCATGAACAATTAGGTGTAAAAAAGTTGTTTTCCCGATGGCTACCGCATTCGCTCTGTGAAGAGCAAAAAGCGGCTCGCGTTACTTGGTGCGTCAGAACTCTCGAAAGATTCCACGCAGGATCCTCAAATACTGTATACAACATCGTATCAGGTGACGAATCCTGGTTATATGCGTACGAACCCGAAACAAAAAACCAGTCACGAGTTTGGGTGTTCGAAAATGAGTTAAAGCCAACAAAAATTGTTCGTTCACGGAGTGTTGCAAAAAAATGGTTGCCACGTTTGTCTCCAAAACCGGCCATGTTACGACTATTCCTCTTGAGGGACAAAGAACGGTTAATGCAGAATGGTATGCTAGCATTTGTTTGCCACAGGTCGTTTCTGAACTCCATAAAGAGAACTACAACCGCCGCATCATCCTCCATCACGACAATGCGAGTTCTCACACCGCACACAGAACAAAAGAGTTTTTAGAGCAAGAAAACATAGAATAATTAGACCATCCCCCGTACACCCCCGACCTAAGCCCTAATGATTTCTATACTTTCCCTAAAATAAAGAATAAATTGCGTGGACAGAGATTTTCATCACCTGAAGAAGCTGTGGACGCCTACAAAACGGCCATTTTGGAGACCCCAACTTCCGAATGGAATGGTTGCTTCAATGATTGGTTCCAAAAATGTGTCAAATTTCGCGGAGAATATTTCGAAAAGCAATAAATACATTTTTAAATGGTAATGTTGTGTCACTTTCTTGATTCCCGAAATTTTCAGTGCCGCCCTCGTATATATACTCTAGCTCTAGCTCGCCAGGCAGACGTTGTTCTGCCCTTTCCAATGACCCTTCCCATAAAAATCCTTAAATTCGCAATAAAAAATTTAGCGGGATAAAAACTATCCTATCTCTCACTCTCAAGTTGGACCAAAATGCACACAGTGTGCAAAATTTCATTGAAATCAGTTTAGTAGTTTAGGAGTCCATCGCGGACAAACAATGTGACACGTAATTTTTATATATAAAGATATTCATTATTTTTACTTTCTCTTTTTACGTAGAAATTAGGGTATTTTCGCACAAATTTGCATAATCCCAATATATAAATACAACTTAAGGTAAGAAGTTTAAATTTCTCAAAATGAGGACGACAACTTTCAGTGTTTTCTATGTTACACATAATGCGAATTTTGCTTTTTCTGTAAGATGAAGATGGTAGGTGCATCTGTACTGTTGTCCACAGGATAATACCGTACCTTAGCCACGCCTGTGCATAGGCATTATAAGTAATTAACGCAGTCTGGAGGCCAGTTGTCTTTTTTATTTCTCTTAGTGCATATACAAAAAACTAGACAATTTGTTACGAATTTTCTGAATATGAGATTTCCAGTTAATGTGGCTATCTAGAATTAAGCCGAGTAGAGTGTGTTCATTTACTGATTCGATTTTTGTATTTTTGTAAGAATAATTAATTTTAATCGGCGGTTTTGATAAAGGTACAAAAGGATGAGTCGCTCGCGTCCGTAGGCTTCGACCACCTAATCCTAGGCCCACCCTACACGTGTCCCCCGGGTGGTGCTAAACGAGCGACAAAGCCGAAACGACAGACTCGGCTCCTCGCCGTATGGTAGCGGCGTAAAATCTACCACCCCCTTAGTTCGCACCATGAGCCTAGTAGAAAAAGAAATGGCCCCGAGTTCCCGGCGCCCCTTTAATGGGGCAGGGGTGCGAAGAATCTCCGGGAGAAAAACCGGCGACGAGGTTCGCCACCCGTCACGTCCTGTCTCCCGGAGGGGCGAAAAGTGGATTGCGGAGGCCCGTCTGGCTACGCTGAATGTATGTGGAGCAATGAATGATAAGATGGATGAAGTATGCGAAATGATGAATGATAGAGGAATAGATGTGTTATGTGTAAACGAGACGAAACGAAAGGGAAGAGATGTCACTGCACATGGCATGTATACCGCTTACTGGTCTGGAGTAGACGAGACCGAGCGGGCATGCCAGGGAGTCGGTGTCATCCTTTCAGAAAGAATGGGTCAATGTGTGAAAGAGTATGAATGTGTTAGCCCAAGGTTGCTGTGGATACGAATGAAAGTGGGCTTAAAGAAGTTGTTTGTGCTAGGGGTGTACGCCCCAGATATGTCTAAGCCCACTTATATCCGAGAGCAGTTTTGGGACATGGTAAGGCTGGTGTTGATGAAATGTAAGGAAAATGAAAATATTATTATGTTAGGAGATTTTAATGGAAGGGTGGGGGTGAAGAGGTCTGGTTATGAAAGGATATTAGGAACGTTTGGCGATGAAAGAATAAATGAGAATGGTGAAGACCTCCTCACCGTATGTGTGGAAAAGAATCTTTTTGTGGCGAACACTTTCTTTCGCCATAAGAGGATTCACATGTATACATGGGAAAGAGGGGATGATAGAAGCATGATAGATTTTATAATTGTGGATGAAAGAATGAGGAGCGCAGTGGTAGATACAAGGGTTTTCCGGGGGTCCAACGTAGGGACGGATCATTACTTGGTCTTATGCCGAATTAATGGTCTATTCAGACGTTGGCGGCATCGGACATCGGTGTCTACCACTGCGTTACAGCGTATAAGAATAGAGAGGTTACAAGATGAAGGTGTGAAAGAGAAGTATAAATGCAGACTGAGGGAAAATATAAGTGGGTTGAATGAATTATGTATGAATGATTTAGAATTGAAGAATGTATGGAATAATATTAAGAGAGTTCTGGTGGATGCAGCCACCGAAGTATGCGGTGTAAGTAAGAGAACGAATGAAAGGAAAAGTAATACGTTGTGGTGGGATGATGAGGTACGGATGGAAGTTGAAGCAAAGAAGAGAGCATGGCTAGATTTACTAGCAACTAAAGCTGGTAATTCTGGCGGTATGAATGATGAGATTGAAAGAAAAAAGGCAAACTTTAGACGTATAAATAAGAGAGTAAAAGAAGTTGTTGAAAGGAAAAAGCAAGAAAGGATAGATAAAAATGATAGAAGGATATCTGATAACTTCCAGGAAAATATTAAAATGTTCTGGAAGCTCGTAAGAACTGCCAGGGGAATTTCAAAACAGCCTAGAATGAATGCTATACGAGACGAGAATGGCTGCATGCTGAATGATGAAGTTTCGA